TTTGGCGTAAGTTTCTTTGACAAAAATTTTTGACCTATTACTGTTTGACCTACCCAGTAGTATTGTTCCCCCCCCCCCCCCCCCCCAATAAAACTTTTGTTCCTACAGCCCTGGTCACATGACTAAGTTTTGACATTACAATAGTTTTTTTTATTACGATGTTATTGTATTATAAAGATGAATTACAATACTGTTATTATAGTGGGTCATTACAACACCTTTTTTTTCAGATACTGTCAACAGGGGCTACTTTACTCCGTTTTTAATGGTTATTTTACTGCAGTTAAATTTAGGCATGATGAAAAATTTGCTTAATGAATTAAATTGGTTTTTTCAAATTCTAATATGTTGCCATAACTGGTTTATGAAGAAAATATTTTTTTTTTTTTTTTTTTATTCATAAATTTTTAAGACTACATAGTATTTACAAGTTTTTACAATGCATAATATATTACAACAAATACATTCAAAAAAATACTTCTTATATAACTAGAGACATCAAAATACTTGAAATATATTTGAGGTAAGGAAATTAAAGTAATATTACTAACTGTATTGTGAAAAAGAAACGGAATAAAAATAAGTTAGCTTAAATTTTGTAGTCAGGGGAAACTCGCAGAAAACTGTGTAAGTCTTTTCATCGAGAACCATTATTATTAACTTCATGAAATACTACATTATTGTTATAAATACTATTAACAATTACTATTTTAATTAAATATGTTTTGATTGAGGTTTTAAATTTGGTGCAAAGTAGCCCCAATGAGAGGGTTTGGCAGTTTGCACCACGTAATGAAAATATGTTTTCAATGTTAAAAATAATAAAAAAAAGTCTCGTCCAAAAAGATTTTTTTAGTATAGAGAATTCCACAAAAAAACTATTAATTTATAGCTTAAAAAATGGTTTTAAAACTAAAAACATAAATCTTACCCAGAAAGTTGATTTAAGTATAAGATTTAGTTCAGGAATTTCACATAACACTAATTTAAATAAGTAAAACACTTTCTTTTAAATAAGGTACACGTTGGCTGAGTGTTCCTTTTTTTATTAAATCCAAGCATATTTGCAGCGCTTCATTTGAATAATTTTTGTAACAACGAGTTCCTAACTTTCTTTTTTAATGTCTTACCACCCTTAAAAATAATTTGCATCTGTTAGCAACGTTTTAAACCATTAAATGAAAAATAAAAAAGTGCCTGAGGTTACTTTCCACTTTCCTCTTAACTGGTGCAAAATAGCCCTTTTTTCGACAAAGTTTGACTTAAAAACTATTTTTAAATAACACCTTTATAAATAATGAATTAATTTAATTTTTTTTTGCATGATTTAAACTACAGATGGTTTCTTTTCATGAAAAAACTAAACTTATTAAAAATTGATACAGTTCTCGCGTAGAAACACGCCATTTTTAAAGGAGAAAAAAATTCGGTATAAAAAATGGCTTCCACAAATATTCTAATTATAGTAGTAGTAGTAGTAGTAGTAGTAGTAGTAGTAGTAGTAGTAGTAGTAGTAGTAGTAGTAGTAGTAGTAGTAGTAGTAGTAGTAGTAGTAGTAGTAGTAGTAGTAGTAGTAGTAGTAGTAGTAGTAGTAGCAGTAGTTGTTGTTGTTGTTGTTATTTAATTCTCTAGGTGTGAATACAAATTTTTATTGCACTAATTTACAATATCAAAGTTATTTATTATTTTAGAGTCTTATTAGGTCAACTTAAAATCTACAATTTTCTAGCAATTGAATACCCAAATATTTTAATTTCTCTTTGCATTCCATTTTTCTGAGCAATTAAATTAGATGAGCTGGTTTGTGTTGGGCATTGAATAGTTTAGTGTACAATTGAGCAATACATGAGCAGTCGTGGCGCAGCGGAAGCGCACTTGCCTCAGAAACAAAAGATTCGTGGTTCAAACCCAACCTCTGGGCAAGTTTTGCAACACTAGTTAGGAAGGTGGCCTGAACTTCCAATTAAATGCTCATCCGCAGTGCTCTGTGATATGACCGTAAGGATTTCTTGAGGCACCTAAATAAAATTAAAAAAATAAAATTCATAAATGAATCTACTGTTTACCGTATTTTATTTGCTGTGTTTAATACATACATTACTTGACTATGAGATTTCATACTTCTAGATAAAATATCTTTTCTTTATTTGTGCTGCATAAAGTTATTATTTCATTTCTTTGTGATAAAATTGTATAGCTGTAATAGTTAGTTAATTTGCCAAGATGTATTACTTTACATTTTGTAACAATCATATAAAGAAACCGTGATTGAGACTATTTCGCTGTTTTATTTTTATCATCTTGTAATGCACTTTTTCCCTCACTATTATTTATTTTTATTAATAGTTTAGTACCACCAGCATAAAATTTGTTTATATTTATTATTTGAATTGTTCAAAGCACGGAGCCTTGCAGTACTTTGCTCAAAATCTTTTTCCAATGCGATAACAATTTTCCCAATACCACAAATTGTTGACGATTTCTTAGAAATAAGTTAATCAACTTTAACCATTTAGCTTGATTATTATCATTATTTTTATGATCATTATTTTTTGTTGTTGTTGGTGTCGTTGTTGTCTTTCTTTTTTAAATTATTTAATTAAATAGTTTTAATTTTTACTATTGCTTTTAAATGTATAGTTTATCTAGGAGATCATTAGTATTAAACGTATAGTTTATCTTGAAGTTGCTCCTTTGTTTAAATTAAATCAGTTAAAATATTAAGATAAACCTAATAACCAAGTTTTAACAATTTGTTTTCTTTAATAAAAAAATTATTTTATCTATTCTTATTTATTTTTTAAAAATGAAAGTCTACAAAATGTGTTTGTTTGCTTGTTTTAAGTAAAGAGTGTTCTTGATTTTTCAAGTTGTTTTTGTTGTTATTTTTAAAATATGTTTTGATTTTAAAGTCTGAGCAATTTCTTTAACCAAAACAAATAAAACAATTTAAAATTCTTCTTGGCTATTGTTTAGACTTTAGACTTTTTTTCCGTTGCAATAGATTATATTTTGATTCATTACTAGTATATTTTTATCTGGTCTACACTCCAACTTTGGTGTACTTTAGCAAACACAAGTCTTAGCTTTTCTATTTATTCATATTGGCAAAGTAACTTTTTAAATACTTTTATTCAAAATAATTCCAATAATTAAGTGAACTAACAATACAACAAATAAGTTAACCAGAAAAACCAACACCTTTTTAAAAATACTTGACAATATATTACAAACAACATTCACAATCATTATTTAATCGTTATTTAACCGTTATTATTTTTTCCGATATTCTTAACTACTGCTAGCGTAACTCTAAATAATTCTCCCTAACATCGAGAACCTTATAGCAAAAAAATTCTCCCTCGAGTAAACATCGAGAACCTTATAGCAAAAGATCAATCAAAAATCTTAATTGTATTTTTGTCTTTTATTAATGTCGACTGCAATATTATTTGCGCTAAGTCTTTAATTAGAAAATGTTAATTGGAATCTTAGAGCATGTAAACTAAGAAACACAAATATTTTAAAGCCATCATCTTTTGAAACTTCTAACGTCCATTTTCACAGTTCACCATAGGAACTAAAGTTTATTTTGATATCATTCAATCTATTCAGTAGGGTGTATACAGGGTAAACTATCATTATAAATATCAGCACTAAAGTCAATATAACCAGAAAAGTTATGCCTATTTAATTTTTTTTAATCCCCCTTTGATATAAAATTAATGAACACGCAACACACTGATATTTTGAGTCTTTTTTTACTTTGCTATGAAGAGCAAATAAAGTTTCTTTACTAAATTTTGGGGAGCAGTCAACACTTTCATACCATTTATAAAAAGATCGTGAAGTGCATTTTCAAATGTGGATATGGAAGTGGATGAGTAAACGGTTTCTTAAATGTGGATGTGAAAGTGGATAAGAAATTGTATTCTCAAATGTGGATGTGGAAGTCGAAAAGAAAGTTCATTCTCAAATGTGGATGTGATAATGAATGAAGTAGTGCATTATTAAATGTTTTTTTAATAATGCACTTAACTATATGCTTCAGCAGAATAAAAAGTTTAATGTTAAAGCAAAATTCTTTAGTTTTTGTTAATATCGCTTTTTAACTATTGTTGTAAAATCCGAAAACATATTTGTTTCAAAGACTCAGTTATATATCCCTGTAATTAAATTGATTAAAAGAATTAATATAATACTATTAGTTACAAAAGCATATTTATATATTTTTATTTAATTATTTTTATTTATACAGAATAAATTTTTAATCTCAAACATTCATTAAAGTTAATGAAAAAAAAAAAAAAAAACACATTAAAAACAACAGAATACAAATAATCTATTTAGTTTAAAAAAAAATTAAAATTTAAAATTATTTAACTTTTTGCTGAAAAAATTAATACTCTAATATTTGAAGATATTTAGTTTTGGATACAAAAATTTAAGTTTGAAGATTCAAAAAATGTGGGTGTTAAATATTTACTCTTTCAAGCCATTAATGTAGCTGTTTAATGTAGCTGATACTCAGATATCATTCTTCTTTGATTTAAGATGACTAAGAAATAAAAGTCAATTAAAATTAACAATACTCCAGTGGGAAAAAGACGTCGAAAAGGCGTTTATTAAAAGTTATATTTACGATGTCTTTAAGACGTCTTTTTTTAATCGATTATGCAAATCTAAAAGACATCTTTTTTCGACATCGAAAAGACGTCTTTTTTTATCTTAATGTTGTCATGAAAAGACATAAAAAATGCGTCTATAAGACGTCTTTGTTTATCAATTATGCATTTCTTGAAATTTTTTTTTTCTCGGGGTCCCAATGACTTTATTTTTATACTTATTAGTATACCATAGTATCCTATACACTATAGTATTCCTATTTTTCATATATGATAAACTATTTTTATTAAATGAAATTGATAATAGCTTTTCATACAAAGTATGATAAAAAGTTCTTTCCGATGCCCTGAAAAAAAACTCTTTTTGATGTCAATATCATTTTCTACATCTTTTATATGTTTAAACATAGGAGAATAATTTATAAATAAAAACAACAGTATTGTTCAACAGAATATTTCTTCATCTTTCTCTTTCTCCTCTGTTTCTTGTGCGAGCTCTGTTTCTTGGCGTTGTTGAATAAAATTAACTATTTCAGGTCGAGAAATCCTTTCATACGAACAGGTTACGACTTCTAAAAAACAAATGAACATAAAAAAAAGTCTCTTTCTTGAATGTAAAACAAAAAAGCAAATGAAACTCGATTAGCTAGTGAAACACATTAGAATTACCGAATATTAATTCAAAAAGGGCTGATCCTTTTAACCCCATCATGTTTCTAGCGCGGTCTTTCTTTTTGAACCCACTAGGTTAGATTGGGACAGGAGTCAAACGGTAAACAGTCTAAAAATATATAAAAATGAGTGTGCTAAATTTACGACCATCAAAATGACTGTACAACGATGTATTTTATTATGTAGTACTTAAACCAAGCTAAACATTTTAACCTCTCAAATTTGCTATGAAAGCAAAGTTGTTGAAGACAGAAATTGATATTTTTCTGTCTTCTATGATGTAACTTTTTAATTGAATTTAGCTAAAATTAAATTACTATTTAAAAACCCGTTATTGACTAAAGACTATCAAAACGAAAAGATAATTCAAGTAATGGTAATACACCTTGAGAGTTGTTATTCATTTAAACTGGATAAAAGTATTAATCAAAGCTCTATTCTAGCCTGAAACATAATGATGCTTTACTTAACAACATAAACTTATAAAAACTGGCGATGTCCTTAGCAATATAGATGAAATACACATAAAAAATTTTGTAAACAAAAAAAGGACCAATCAGAACGTAACAAAGATATTGTAATTACGATACTTTGGGTTAAAACCCTTTTTTGTGGCAATAATTATTTTCAATTTTCTTAAGCAAATAATGATTTCGATATTAACAACGAAAGTTGTTAATAAACAAATAATAATTTGTTTATTATTTATTATTTGTTAATAAGCAAATTATGATTTGCTTATTAAGAACTTAAGTTGTTTCCCAGTTGCTAAAATTTCCCCTCCCCTCCCTAAAAAAAAATTTCTACTGGGTGTTATTTAATTTAACATTTAAATAAAAATTTTCTCGTTTCTTTTTTTTTAATGGCCATCGATATAAAAGACGTCTTTTCTACGTCTTATTAAAGACGTACAACCGATTGACGTCTTTTTGACCTCTTTTTTGAAGACGTCTTTTTAAAAGACGTCTTTTCCACGTCTTTATTTAGGCTGATTATAAAAAGACATAACAAGCCATAAAAAAGACGTCTTTTATTTGTCTAAAGATATCTTTTTTCCCACTGAGATATTGTTTACCTTTGATAGTAGGATTGGCTTGACATTAATGTTCCTTAAGAGTTAAAAAGGTTTTTAATATAACAAAAAGTAACAATATATTGTTTACCTTTGATAGTAGGATTAGATAGATGGTTGTTAATGTTCCTTAAGATTTAAAAATGTTTTTAATGTAACAAAAAGTAAACTTCAAACATTTTAAATCAATATATGCCATTAAAAAAGTCTCAGTTAAAATATATGCCATTGAAAAGTCTCAGTTACAATATATGCCATTGAAAAAATCTCAGTTACAATATATACCATTGAAAAAGTCTCAGTTACAATATATATCTTTGAAAAAATCTCAGTTTTAATATATACCATTGAAAAAGTCTAAGTTACAAAGATGGAATTACAAAGTAACAGCTACATTAGACTTATTGAATCATTGGTGAAATAATAATTATTGAATCAATGGTAAAATAATAATTATTGAATCATTGGTGAAATAATAATTATTGAATCATTGGTGAAGTAATAATTATTGAATCAATGGTGAAATAATATTTAAAATGCTATTTTATTTGTTTTTCGATGGTTTTCAAAGAAAAGTTTTTTATTAGAAAAAAAATTAAATATAGAAGGAGTTGCATCATGTTTCTTTTTGTGTGTTTAATTCATATCATTTAGTTTCTTTTGTGAACAGTCACTTATGAAATGTTCACCAATAATTGTTGCAGCTCAATTTTTTTTTTTTTTTTTTTTTTGATATATATTTCGCTGTTCATATAATAATCAAATAATAAAATTACAAAGAAAATTTTACGTTAAACAAAGTGTATATATATAAACAGACAGGGGCTCAAAGAAGATCTGGATGACTGGTGTCACCACAATCTTTTCATAGAGCCCCTTTAACAATAATATTTAAAGCCAAATATCTTTGAAAAGTTTAAAATAAGATATATTACGTAAAAACATAAATTAAAAACTCCGTTACAAATATAAACGATAAAAAATTTCAGCCAAACGAAGATTAAAAATAAACACGCAGAAGCATGTCAAATATATATAGTTAATATATATATAAGATAAATAAGTAAATAAATATATAAACATGTGTTTCAGAGATTTAGGAGATGCAATTTTATTTGTCGTTTAAAAGAGAAAGTGCTTTTCAGGTTTTTTAAACTGATATTTTCTAATTGATTCCATAATGACGGGCCTTGGATTATAATTGAAAATTTTGACAGTTGTGATTTTACTCTACTCAAGTGATAGTTATGATTAGTATTTGACCGGAGATTGTATTTTTGGGAAACAGCCGATGTAAAAATATTAGAAAATACTTTTAACAGCAGGTTATTCTTATATTTATACATAAAAATTAATATTTATTCCTTAACAAAATTAAAATTAATTCCTTAACAAAAGAGGGAGGGGGGGGGGGGATACGTTTAATAATTTTTGGAAAAATTTCCTACCCACCCCAACCTTCTTAAGAATCCCCCTCCCCGTTTATTAACTTATTTCTTGTTGTTAGTAAAAATTTTATACCTCAAAAATAAAACTTTATAATTGCTCGACCAGCTGATTGTTTTAACCTCTAATTTTATATTAGGCTGACAAAAATCACCCTCCCCATACAATGTTTAAAATATTGCTTCTTCTTAAAAAAATACACTGGTCAACAAAATTAAACTTTTTTCTTTATAACAAACAAAATAAGTTTTTCTAAATGTATTTTCGATGCTGAATTTAAATCTGATGACAATTTTGTTTCAGCATGTATAATTTTTAAATTATTTATATTTTTGTATATTTTAAAAATATAAGTAATATTATAACTAATTTGGGAAAATTAACATATACATCATATACTACATTAGTTCAACGCATTAAACTGCAAACAACTAATTTACATTAAAAAGAGCTTTTAACATAATTGTAAAAGAAGAGAAAAAAAAAAAAGTTAAAACATGTTTTTTCGTTGTTTTAGTTTTTGTAAACGATTTTGATAGACGAATATTTTTTGTTGAAATAACTAGTATTACAAAGATATTAACACTATAAAGTAGTTTTTTTCTTTGTATTTATGTTACAACAACGTTAATACAAAAAAAAAGGAGATAGAACTTAAATAAAGTAATATAGAATAATTCTTTGTTTTAGTCCAATTTTTTTAATTTCCATATATCGGACGAACGGATTCATTTTTTATGGAGATAACAGTTCAGCTCATTAACTTAAGTTAGCCCACTGTCTCAGTAATACAGTATAGTATTCATAAAAGTTAATGCAAAAAGTGGTAAGTTGGATTTTAACAAAATAAAGAACCAATAACTTCCAATAGATAAAAATAAAATAATATAAAACAACACTGAGTATTGTTAACAATCTAAATCGTCAAAAAAACTCATGTTATTATTTCATATCATCTCAAAAGTTTCTTACTTAAAGATAAATTTCAAAATCCTAATATTATAAATGAAAAAACATGTTATTTATTTATTCTATTTATTAATTTATGTTATTTTTTTCATTATAGAACAATAAACCATTAAATAAAAGTCTTGAAAAGCAATATTTCTATATCTATAATATTTAACATCAGATAGTGAAAAATAGTGTGTTATGTTATGCTTTCAAACTTTTTCCTGTAAACAACAAGAAAATCAACAGTTATTCTGTTTAGCCATGCATCTTAACTTTGTTAAACTTTTTTAAAATCAGTACATTCAATAGGACCGGCAGAGTATGCATTCTCAAAGTTAACATTTATTTCTGTTAAATCTCTTTGTATATGTTACTAAATATCGTAAATAGATTGTAAAGATAGAAAATTGTTTTCTTTGCTTTAACACACTTCTTGTTATTATTTATATAATAATTTTAGTATAATAATTTTTTTAGAACATTTTGTTGCAGTAAATTTTCTTTATAGAAATACATATTATGCTATTATTTATGTTATTTTTAGGAACAGTATAAATTTTTCCTTCCATTACTCAAATAATATTACTTATTGCGGTAAACTTTTTGTGATCTGATTAAGTTAGTATTATAGATTCGGTTTCCTTTAACAATATAAAGATGCATTAACCAAAAAAGAAGGCATTTTTGAAAAGGGATAGTTGAGACAGTGATGAAAATTTTACACTTTAAAACAAAACATTGCACCAATGTGATTTGAAAGTTTGTTTACTTTATTTTAGAAACATTTTTTTTATAGCAAGGCATACTGAAATAAGTTTAGTTTGACAGGTTAAACAAAATTCGTTTTAACAACTTTTCTGACAATTTTCGTTCCGAAACTGCATTCAATTTTTCTGTTCTAAACTGCAATTCTCTTTTATTTAAAGTATACTTTTTAAAAATAGATGAAGTGATAGAAGGGTGCTCTTATAGTTAAAGAGGTAGTTAAAGGCGAGATACTTGTAGAATCCAAGCGAGATTTTGAGTACAAAATGTCGTTTTGCCATTTAAGCAAGAAAAGGGTACTATTTAAATTTATTTATTCTGATCCGTAACTTGTTTAAAGTGCATTTTGTTGATAAGCAATGGTCTATTAATCATTTTATTCTATCTAAAAAGTTATCCATTGTTTTTTATTAATTAAGAAGAATCGTAAAAATATTCTGTAATCAATTGAGATCGACATTGTTTTTGTTCATTTATCCCCTATAAAGATGGCTCCGAAATCTCATACCCCTTATTGGTAATAAACAATCTCTAAAACCTTTTAATTTATTGATTCCATTTATTTAGAAATGTTTTTTCTCTAAATTTTGTTTTACCACAAGTAGCTTAAGTGTTTTGGTGATAAGTCAAATGATGTTTTTTTTTGCATCTGCTACTTGTATTTATATTATGATACAAGTCCTAATTAGGGTTTACAAATACTAGCGTCTCCACTGTTTTGGTTGCTAAAGATGGAAGCCGTCGATGAACCACATGCACAGCAGACGAGAAAACGTATTTTAATGATACTGAAGTTGCATGTATAAAAATGTTCTTGCATGATAAAATATCATAATTATATCTTCATCTTTCAGGGTTTGAAAGACTTTTGTCGGAGAGTTAAATTAATAAACAATTGAAAAAGTTTCTGTTTTAAAACATTGTACGTATAAATAATAATAAAAATTGAGTAATTATAAAGAGGTATCTTAATCCGAAACTCAAGCAATATTAACAATCCGAAACAATATGTTTTTCAAAAATAACTTTCCGAACAATATATTGAATGTTTTCAGAAATTCTGATTGTTATAAAGAAACCGTAACTACTAAAATTTTTAGCAACAAGGTCTTCTTTTACATACCAAATTGATAATGTTAAATTGTTATTATACGGTTAATGGTTTTAAAGTATAAAAGGGAATGAATTGAGTTTTAACTTTATAAAAAGAGGATTAACCGTCATGTGAAAATATTACCCGGATAATACCCAAAGGGCGGCTACCCGGGTCCCCGCCGACAGCCTTAGGTATACTAAAATAAATTATAATAAAGAAAGTTATTTGGTTTTGAACTAATGATCTTGAAAACGTTATAACGTTAGCAATGAGAGTATTAATTTTATGTTTTCTTTTTTGCATTTGTTATTTGAGTTCTGATGAAAGCTATTTAGTTCGAAGCATTTCTTATGCTTTGAACTAAACAGCTTTCATCAGAACTTAAATAATGCTAATATAAAAGCCGCTTCAACACAAAGTTTATATTTTTTCGTCCGTTTAGCATTTTACTCTACATAAAGCTTAAACCTTCGTAAATAAGTTGTCAGAAAAAGTAACATTTAAAAAAAATTGTTCTTGTTGTGAATGACGTCTTCTATAATTGATAAAGATTGTATAATAACTGCGTAGTTGATATGCATATAATCACAAAAATCGTATCGCAATTAAATTACTTATTAAATGAAAAAATGAAAAAATAGATATACTGTAAATACTTTGATATACCGTTTACAAACCGTGTCATACACACATTACAAATAATTGTAATTGCGTCAGATTTGAAACTAATCTGAATTGATATCAACTAAGATTAGTTTCAAATCTGACGCACTTACAATTGTTTGTAATGTGAATATGACACGGTTTGTAAATAGTATATCAAAGTTTTTTTTTTTTTTTACCGAACCAACTAGAGACACCTGCTGCTGAAACCAGACTTACACAGGGCCCTAGAAGGCAGGTGTTATTTTGGAGCCGAGATTCCGTGTTTAGCCCATTTACGGGTTTTAGGTTTGGCCCACTTAAGGGTTTAGTTGCCACTCAGCCGAAACTGAGCAGCACCAACTTAATGGTTTATCTCCATTTAAAGTCCGGAGTGGACGGATCGCTTTGAAATTTCCGGACGTAGAAGGAGACACTGAAAAAGCGAACCTCTATCGACTGTCACGGTTTCTATCTTGTGCTGTTTCTGTTTTCTAACAACACTGTAACCAATTGTGAGATGATCCGGAGCCGAAATAGAAACAGATACTACACTTGATCTTAGCCATTAGGCCGAGAAGCGATGTATATCAAAGCGACGTATTAACAGCGATGTATATCAAAGCGACGTAATAAAGCGATGTATATCAAAGCTTTTTTTAATGTAAAATGAAAGCAAAACAAATACCATAAGTTAGAGCAAAATATTAACGTTCAAAGAAAAATAAATTTATCGTTATATTATTATTAGTTAAAAAGTTTTCCTTATTTTAAACCAAAAAGCTTGTGATTTTCTTTTTGTATGGCCCTTGACGTTTCAGCAATAAAAAAATTTTGAATTTTTGACGTTTTAGCAATTATTATTTTAAGAACCACATTAAAGCAAAATAAACAAGGTTATTGTTATTCAAAACTCCGCAATAAGACCGATTAATTTTTTTTTTTTTTTTTGTAAAAAAAAAAAAAAACTTTCGTAATTGGAATTGGAATGACTAGGACACGACCATAACAAATCTACGAATTTGCATTTTTTTTTTAATAATAATATAATAGTGCAAAAAAGGTTTTACAATAAAATAAAGTAACCATTAATTTTTTTTGCCATCTTTTAACTGAAAACTTTAAAAAATTAAATTTCCGTTTGTTTTCTCATAAAAATTTTCAAGCTAATTCTTGAAAACTAACGAGTGCTAAAAGAAAAAAAAAAAAAGTTTCCTTCAAAAAAAATTGAAGTAGAGCTGCCAATAGAAATGCGGAAGCCACTGGAGGTGGAAGCCAAAGATTTTTGCCGCTAAAAGTTAATTGGGAGGCCGCCAACTGCTGCGGTAAAAAGAGGAGGCGAGAAGATATACGCCGTTTATCGTCACCGAATTTACTTAACTGACAAACTATTTCTTTAAAAGCATTATTTACAGAGAAAATTTTGTTATGTGTTATGAGGCGGATTTATTTATAAGGGGTCGTCCATAAATTAAGTCACGCTTTAGGGAGGAAGGGTAATATTTTTTGTCACGACTAATACGAAACTTGTTACTAAAGAATTTTAATGTTGCGACAAAAAGATGGGGGGGGGGAAGAGAGAGGATTTAAAACGGGCAGAAATTGTGTGACGTAATTTGTGGACGACCCCTAATTGCTATAAACAAAAAAAATTTTTAAAGTCTTAATGTGAAATAATAAAGAAAAAATAAAAATAAACAATAATGATGAAGCAAGTTAAAAATTTTCTTGAAAGGGAGCTGTCCATTAATTACGTCGGCAAAATAAAGGAAGGAGAAGTATAAATTTTTTTGACAACTGTTGACAAGGGGGAGGGGGGAGGTCAAGACAAGTTGACGTCAGCAATGTTGCTTTTTTAAATAAATTTAATTGCCTGAAAATAGGAAAGTCTTTCTCGATCAACATTTAGTATAAAGCTATTGACATTCTACTTTTTTAAAACTGTGTTGTTCTTGAAAAAGACACGACACATACAGAGCTAAATAAACACACACAAAATGTTTACTCGTAACTATTGCAGTTGTGATTAAAAAAAATCACACTGCAGTTGGCAAGCCGAATGTGGTTCTTTAAATGTCAAACTGCGGCTCTTAAGCTCCATGCACAAATACTATAATAATATTGAAATGATAATGTTGGTAGCTCTTTAAAAATTGATAAATTTTGTAAATTGCAACTTTTAGCTTTTCTGTCTAAAAGGTTGCCGACCTTGGTTTATCCAATTTTTTAAATGCATTTTTTGTTTGGAAATAATTGTCTTTTACAGTGAAATTGAATTAGGTCTAAAGTTAAAGTGAGGAGGATTGGCACATTAAAGTGTTGTAATAATTTGAAATATGTTTATAATTTAAACATGTAAGATATTTTTGAACCCTTTAACCTTTTATGTTCAGAGTAAGCCTTTGTATTTATAAACTGGAAATATGTTCATAAGATAAAATTATCATAATTTTGTTTTCTATACCTTTTCTTTCATTTAATTTTTGTTCAGAGCATTTGAAATTTTCAACGATTACATTCATTTAAAATATATTCATATGTTAAAATTTGAATTTTTTTTTTTCTAAACATTTTACTATAAGTCACTTTTTTGTTTTAATTGTAATTAATTTGTAGTCTATTTAAAACATTGTTTTGTTTTTTTTCCATTTAAGTTTTGTTTTAGGGGAAAGAGATTATTAAATATTGACGTAATTTTGTAGGGGTCTCTGAAAGTTTGACAAGTTCTTGACAAGTGGAGGGAGGTGAAAATTGCCAAAAATTGTTGACGTAATTAATGGACAGGCCCAAAAAAGATCTACAAAAAAAAAAAAAGCATATTAGATAAACAAGTTAGCAATAATTAACTATGAAAAACCAAGTTTAATAATAATAAACTTAATTTGAAAAGTATTTTAAGTTTTATATAAACTTAAAATATTTTTTTATATATATCTAAAAGTTCTATAGCCTGGACAATAAATATTCGCATCAGGATTTTCAATTAATTTGATTTCAATAGAGCAATAAATTATTATTCAATTATGTTCTTAAATTATTTAAGGAACGTAAAAAAAATATTGCTTCATAAATCTTTATTTAAACACATTTAGTAAGTTTTTTTATGCCTTTATAAGAAACGTTTTAGCTAAAAGCAATTAAATTCAATAAGTTATTTTAAGTATTTTAGCATCATTAAAACTTTGTATAAAAACTCAATTAAAGTAATCCATTAATTTCAGAGAAACAGAACTATGAAGTGATTTAAAAAAAATAATTAATCGGAGATAAATATGTAAATTAAAGATATTGTTATTCATGTAATAGGAAATACAAAAGCATTTTCAATGGATATGATTAACAAATATTGAAATAAGCAAATAACTTCAAGTTAAGTTGATATTGTATATATTGTAGTTTGTTGTTGTTTTGCTTTTTTGTTGTAAAATCGATGATAGCAATATTGAAGTATACACGATAATAGTAACGCTTAGAGTATTTTTAAAGTATTTACACAAAGAGTGTCATAGTGTTTTAAGTTTAAACTTTGTTGTATGGTAACATAATTTGTAATTGTTTTTTACATTTAAATAATAATTTATTTTATCTAACAAAAATTAATAAAAGATTAATTATTGAAAGGGAAGTGGCCTTTTCAATTTTTATGTAATAATGCATAAAAAAGCAAGTAGTAATCAGGGCCGACGACATGGTTTTCGAGGAGAAAGGGCACAATCGTCAAATTTTAAATAAAGTCCTCTATATCTAGAATTTTCTTAAAAAACAAAAAACAAGACAAAACAAAAAGGTCCTTTGAAAAAAAAGACCAGGGGACACGTGTGGAGCACATGCCCCCCGGTCCTCCGGTGTCGTCGGCTTTGGTAATAGAGACTAGATTTGTTTTAATATGCAATAAATAATTTCTTGCATTCGCATCTTATTTTATTTTACAATGTAATGTTACCTAAGAATCAAAAAACATCTTTTAAACATTATGCAATTCTGGGTAGTCAATTTCATGGGCTCCCATTTATAAAAAAATTGTTAGACTATTTACAGCATTTAGGCACTATTTTTTTAGATGGTTGGTTTTTCAAACCCGTCATTTGCGAAGTCATCTTATTATATATATATATATATATATATATATATATATATATATATATATATATATATATATATATATATATATATATATATATATATATATATATATATATATATATATATATATATATATATATATATATATATATATATATATATATATATATATTCTAATGAAAATCGCTTCTCTCATACAAAAAATACTTTTTAGCAAACTTAATATTCTAAATGTTTTTAAATTAAATTTCCATCTTATTCTTATATTTATGTTTAAACTTGATAAAAAAAATGGCACCACTTTTATTCAACTCTTTATTTAAAAAAATAAATCATATATACAGCACAAGATTTTTAAATAATAACTTAATTTTAATTTTTTTACTTTTAATTTTTTAATTTTTTTACTATTGTATTAGCATTAATGTTCTTTTTCCATTCTAAGGCCTTACATTGCTATCCATATTTTTTGTTTTTGTTTTTTATATTTTTTGTTTTTGTTTTTTATTTTTAAGTTTTTTGTTTATCAATTTTTTGGTTTAAAAAAAAAATTTTATTTTGGTTATATTTGTTGTATATCTTCGTACGTACTAGTTTTTTATATGATACAATTTTTTGTTATTGTTATTGTGAGTACTGCTTGGATGTGTTGTCTGTCTTACCTGTTTTGAAATTTTCCTCTATTAATCTTTATTTTTGTCTTGACAACTGTCAAAATATGCTTCGTTCGATAAATAATTCTTCTTTATTCTAATGTACTTCATTTCTTCCCTCGGGTGTTCACTGCTCGTGTGTGACCATTCGGCGAATTTTATATGCCAAAGTTTTTAAATAATTATACTCAATCAAAACCTATTATTCTGCCACCAAATACTCAATCACAAACCGAGGTCCTGAATTATGGAATACACTTTAAAATAATGATCTTAAAACACTTTCTTCACTTAATCAATTCAAAACTAAACTTAAGCAAAATCTTTTACTAAACGACAATGAGCTAAATTTCTTCTAAAGCGTTTAAATGAGAGTACTATTATTAATAATTTTCAGCATAACAATTATGTTTAACAATTTAATTTTAATAATTGTTTATTACTAAGATTATTTATTCAGATCCATAAATATGATGAATAATATTACTGGCTTTTTGTTTTGTTTATTTATTTTTTTTGTTTTGTCTTTTTTGTTTGTTTTTTCTTCTTTTTTGATGATCTTTTTTTTTGGTTTGTTATTTTATTCCCCTATTTAAAATATATTTTTAGTCAACTTTAACGATAAAAAAAAAATTTAAAAGATATGTAACTTACATTATTACGGTTTTTATAAGCATTGTAACTTACGGTGTATTTATTACGGGGCTTAGTGATAAGACAACTACTGTTTTCTTTTTGCCCCGGTCATATTTTATTTTTGTTCATGTTCTTTGGTATTGTAATTACTCATAGCGACGAAATATATATATAATAATAAAAAATATATATTAGGATGTCCCGAAAACATACTTTTTTTAAAATTTCAATGTGCTCTCCACTGATCCCCATTCTAAAGGTCCTAAATAATTACCAAAATCTTTATTTTTATTTTTCAATGACTAGAAGTGATAGATGTAAATTCTGAGTTTTACGGTATTGCACACATGTGTATTTACTTATAAACACTTAGAGCAGCCGTGGCGCAGTGGTAACGCACTTGCCTCAGAAACGTAAGATCCGTGGTTCAAACCCCACTTCTGGACAAGTTATGCGACATCGGTTGGGAAGGAGGCGTGAACTTCCTATTAAATGCTCTTCCGCGGTGCTCTGTGATAAGACCGTACGGACTTCTTGGGGCACCTAAAAAAAAAAATAAAAAAAAAAAAAAAAAAACACCGCTATTTAGTATTTCAGTAGGTTTTAATATGATGTAATAATTGGTACACAAATAATTCCCATAGAACACTATTAAAGAATAGGATCATTCCCTATGAACATTGTTAGCGATTGATATAATTCCCTCTGGACAAAATTTTTAGTTGGTATAATTCCTCATGGATTGGTTCACAAATAACTCCATTTAGAAATTTTTTTTAAGGAAAAAATTTCTAAATGGAATTATTTGTGCACGAAGGAATTCTTATTTATTCACGAAGAAATTCTTGTGTAAACGGTTATAAAAGCCTTAACGGTAAACTTAGATAAAATTGAGAGAAGGAATAACGACTTCATAGATTTTTGATGTAAGTGTAAAATTTAGTATAAACTTAGTTTAAAAACTGATAATTTCGAAATTCATATAAAAATGGGTAGAACAGCTAAAAAAAAAGAAGATGATAGGACAGAATAAGAAAAAACGGAAAAATACAGAAAGGTTGAGGTATATTTACCGCAGACAGTTTCCGTCTAATGGTGATATTCTAAGATACTATCAATTTATCCTTCACGATTCACAAGTAAAATACAAACCCACTTATAATAATGTTGGTTGCAAATTGAAATCGAAATCCAAGGATCTTGTTTATGAAAATGGTGTTTATACAGATCCTGATAACTCTTCCTTGGTAACTAGGATTAAAAAAATTTGGCATAATGCTGGGTTTGGCAAGAAATTTGTGATTTCTAGGTACAATATAAAGACCAAAATTATTAAACTTAATCTAAAATACAAGGAATTGATTAAATTGTCTTCTTTAAACTGGAACAGCAGCCTTGATAAGCAATCAAAGTTAGAGAAAGGTTTTCTCACAGAATCCTATCAGCTTTTTGATATCTCCACTAAGAATTTTAAAAAAGATATTTTTGCTGATAGATTGAGAACAGATGATGCCAAGAAGATATAAAGTAAGTTCATTAAATAACACTTTTTTAGTAGTAAGGTTTTTTTTCCGATTTAAAGTAACTTAAGTAATAGCATATTATTTCCTTTAAAATATTTACGTTTAATTCCTTCCATGGTTTGGCCATCTTCCAGGAAAAACTAGAACAATTATTGTCATATGATTCTATGACAGAAGAGATTCAGTTCAGTAGTGAAGAAGAAAAGCCAAACGATGACTCTGAAATCAGCGAGGAAGAAGATTTTCTGGGTAACGGTCGGAAACGCAGGTATAGTATTATTTTAATAACATACTTGTAATTTTTACAAGACTGTTTTATTAAAAAGTATATAATTATAAATAGGTAGAAAAGTATTATAAAATGATATCTAGGTACAATTCTAAAGAGAGGATAAATCTAACAGTGAATGTTAAAAAGCTCATTGAATGCACTGCTATTCCAGCAACAAGGTTCAACGATGGTGTACGGCCTCATCTGGCAATTTTAAGTGAAGTATTTAAAGCTGGAGGTATAGAAATTAATGATATACCACTTTCACGAAGCACACTTCATAGAAAAAAGTTCAAATATGTAAAATTTGAAGGAGACTTGGACTGGATTTCAATAACTAATCATCTTAAAGGCCGACGGCTTATTCTTCATTTTAATACCAAACTGTTGGAACAAATTACCACTGGGCTTAACATTATTCAAAAAATCGAGCAATTTGCAGTCTCAGTGAGTTCCCCGGATGACCATTCCATGGAAGACCGTTTTTTAGGTGTTGTTCAATGTCCCTCTTCTAAGGGAGTTAACCAAGCTCTTCGCACTGTTGCAGAGGAAGCTAAGAAATTTTTGACTAATGCAACTACTGATATGGTGTTTTCAAGGAATGATTATGGTATAGTTTATAAGCTTGCCTCCTTCTTCTTTGGAGCGGAAGTACTAGATTTTAAGTTCCATCAACCTGGCGCCTGCCATGAGGCAAGGCTTTTAGCAGATGCTCTGTCAGATATCTTGACAGAAAAAGAAGTGTTGCAGATGAAGGATGCAAGTTTGTTCATTGCAATTTATATGTTCCATGGTATTTGAAAAGTTTTTTAGGATTTCTGGCTCCCTAAAATGATTTGAAAGCTATCCAGACAGCGTATGCATTGAGAAAAGTTAACAAGAATATTGTAAATGCTTTGCTTCTCAGCATAAAACGCCATACGTGGTACTTAACTTCGCAACTCTGTATTTTGTCCTTTGAGGATAAAGAAGTTCCTTCTGAAACAAAACTAAGAATGCTGTTAGCTCTGATTGAGTTTGAAGAGCCAAATGAATTTCAGCGTTGTAAACCATCAAATGTACGAATTGGATAGACCACAGAGCTACCAGAGTTGATTTCCGAGCAAAGCTACCTTCTCTTCAAACATTTTAAAATATCAAGAGCAAGTATAAAAGAATTGCTCAATAATAGTCTTAATACTATAGATGCTTTTAAGCATCCTCAGTTGGTAGATTTTATTGCATGGGGCCACCAATAAAGGACGTCATCCAAATAGGGGGGGGAGGGGGTCGAGTTAAAAAGAACAAAGGAAGGGGGTGAGGTTGTCAGAAAAGGTCGTCACTTTATAGATTTTTTATTTTAGTTTAATTAACATGGAAAACTACGTAAACATGTGTTTTTGAGAAGATAATGTATGAGAATACTTTTAATTTTATTTTTCAAAGGTGAAGCAGCAGATTCAAACATCATTGCAAGGGAGGGGGGTCAGGATTTTATGACGTCTTTTTCCAGGGGTATAGGGAAAAAGGAAAACCGGTGACAAAGGGGGCGGAGGGGTCAAAAATTGGCTCAAAAATGGTGACGTCCTTTATGGATGGCCCCCATGGATCAAAAACATATCTGTTGTAAATAATGGTGCAGAAAGAAACATTAAGCTCATTAAAGACTTTATTTCAGTTACTAGAGATGAAGATCACCTTCAAAATGTACTTTTTGTAGTTAAAGTTTAGAAAAAACTTGACTAAGAGTATGACTAAAAAGGAGCTTGGGAACTGTTTAAAAAGTTGTATTTTTTGAGAAATGTTTCACCGCAATAAAATCGTAAATTTGCTAATAAATATTAGTTTTCGTGTCTTTTATTTATTTATTTATTTATTTTTTCATATTTATAAATATAATCTATCAAGTTAAATAGTAGAAAAAATTTGGAAATGATTTATACTCATTTAATTGTTTTGTTTTAATTTTCTAAAATGTAAAAAAATTGTGTTTTCTATTAATTTTAAGCCAGCTTAACATTAAAACAGTAAAACTCAGATTTTGCATATATATATATTTATATATATATATATATATATATATATATATATATATATATATATATATATATATATATATATATATATATATATATATATATATATATATATATATATATATATATATATATAAAGGCCTTAGAGATTTCTAAAGCCTTTGTTTGGCATGCTGGCCTTCTCCATAAGTTTTCTTCTTACGATGTATTAGGTAACATCTTTAAGATTATTGAATCCTCTTTTACCAATTGTAGCATAAAGGTTGTCTTCAATGGACAGCACTCTTCTTCATTTCCTGTATTTTAGGGGTTCCTCAAGATTCTATTCTTGGTCCTATACTATTTTAAATTTACATTAACAATCTCCCAGAAAATCACATATAAAATGACATTGTTCGCTGATGATACTACCATTTTTATCGTGGTTGCCACTTTCTTACTCCGGATTCTATTCTTTACCTCTTTAAATTTCAAATCTGTCTTTGTATATAATACTGTTGCCATATCTAGAGCGGATCTTCGAATGATGCTCTTTCTCTTTTAGACAAAGTGCAAAAACGGAATCTAAACATAGTTGGACTTGCTCTTGCAGCTAACCTTCAGCTATTTTCACATCATCGTAATCTTGCTTCTATTTCTTTTTACTATAAATACTATAATTGGCGCTACTCTGAAGAGCTAGTGTCTCTTGTGCCATCTACTAAAGTTTATATATCGTATATAATATTCATTTAAATACCTAAAATTGCATTAAATTACTTAAATTACTTTTTGAATAAAAGCAAAACATAGTTAATCTTTAATATTATGACTATATTAAATATCTTTCCGTAATTTTATTTTGAAAAATTTGTTTTTTTTTCGTTTAAATGTTTAAGTTTATAAATTTTAAACAAAAACTAATTTTTTTTTTTTTTTTTTTTTTAATTTTAATTCACCTCCTCAAGGCCGAGAAGGCCACTACAGACGAGGAGGCTACTTATTTGTGGCTATAACCCTCTCTCAACTCTATAACTCCGAAACACAAACCTTGATGAACAAGGCCGCTGCGCGGAGAAACGAGTTGAGCGCGGTACTACCAGGGACGTGGCGAGGATCGAACTCCGAACCACTCGTTTATGAAGCGAGCGCTCTACCACTACACCACTACCGCATAATTAATTTTTTTTTTACATAAAAACAAAATAGTATTACTACTTATAGTTTTACTAAAAAATGGCCAAAAGTTTGATCTTTTTTTGCAAGGTTTTGTTAATAACAAATCATTATACTACACAAACTAGTTCTAATAGTCTAGTTGGTAATTTTTTTTATTTAGGGTAGAGTGGGGCAAGAGGCCCAGGTGGGGTAAAAGGCCCATCCTGCAGTTATAAAGAACCTAGATAAAATATTATAATTATTGTTTTGTAGTATGAATGATAAATGTGTAACAGTGTTGCGAGCGAATTTTGGTGAACTTTTAGTAGAAATATAATTTTTAACAGAATATTGAAGACTTGACAGGTAATAAGAATAGGACATTTTGATTTTTTGCGTAATTTTAAAATTTTTTTGTAGATTATTGTTAAACTTAGTTGATTATTTAAATGAGTTTATGTATTTGTAAGCGTAGAAATTATGTATTGATTATTTACATAACGTTCATTGTACCATAGAATAATATGTTTTTATCAATTTTTGCACCGACCATTTTGGGGCAAAAAGCCCAGTTTGTTAATGGGGCAAAAGGCCCATCATGAGCTTTTTACCCCTTGCATTATTTAAGTAGAATGTTCAAATTTTAACTTTATTTTATTTATAGATATGGTTAGAAATTACAAAAGGAAGACAAAAAGAGAAAGTTATGGAGCAGAAGGTTTACAACGGGCTTTAGATTCAGTAAAAAATGGTATGTCTTTGCGTAAAGCTGAAAACAGTTTTGGAGTTTCAAGGAAGACATTGAGAAGGCATTTGCAGGGCAAAGTAAGACAAGTTGGGAGCAATAAATTAGGAAATCATGTGAATACTTTTTCTATTGAAATTGAACAAGATCTTGTTAAACACATCCAAATGATGGAAAGAGCATTATTAGCAAGAAACGAAACAAGTGAACCTACGAATACAAATGAAGAAGCCGGCAATGCGGTGGATAATGAAGCATCGGTTAATGTGATGGAGACTGATAGGATTGCAACAGGAGATAGCAATGAGTCCGATGAAAATCAACTAGATAAAACAGCTGATCATCCTGGTTTATCCGAAGCATTGCAGATTATATCAGAACTAAGCCCTATTCCAAGGATAAAGAATGTACGCAGTCGCAAACGAAAAACCGAAGCAGCAACTGTAATAACTTCTAGTCCTTATAAAGCAATGTTAATTGAAGCAAATGCAAAGAAGACAAAACAGAACAAGCAAGTAGTAGTTGAAAATAATAATGAGGAAAATGATGAAGACGAAATCGATGTAATCGCAGACAAATCCAAGAGAACGAAAAGTGGAGATGACAAAGAAACCGGGAAAAGGAAGCAATATGCGAGAACAAAATCAAAAAGGACAATCAAAAGTAACGCATCGAATGCTAACGTGATAAGAAAAGGGTCAAAAGAACAAAGATGTGTAGGTTCTGTTACTAACAGTGATGATACGCCATGTTGCATGTGTGGTAAAAGATTTAACGAACCACCCATTGATGACTGGCAGCAATGCCCAGAATGTCTCAACTGGTACCACGACGGCTGTGGTCCAGATGACACTGCTGTCTGCTTTCACTGCCAATAGGCATAATCAATTCAACTAGTCTTACTGTAGTTTTTTAGCTGTCTTTTTAGCTGTATGAATTAGTTTTTTAGCTGTCTTTTTGGGTTATGAATTATTTTTTTAGATATCTTTTTAGCTCTATGAATTAGTTTTTTTTAGCAACTTTTAAGCTCTATGAATTAGCTTTTAACTGTGTTTTTCAGCTCTATAAATTAGTTTTTATAGCTATCTTTTTAGTCTATAAGTTTTTAGCTCTTTTTAGCTCTATTAATTTTACGGTGCTGTTTGCCATTGTCATATGATAGCATATATGGTGCTACTTGCTAATATTATGGTGCTAAGTGTTCTACTAAAACTTTTGTTGGACATTTTTACACACAAATATATTGTGACTAGTAAAAAGTGTATTGTTGCAATAAATTTTTATTGTAAAAAAGGAATATTTCAAGCTATTAACGTTTGGGGTAAAAGGCCCAGGGTAGGGGCGTTTTGCCCCAGCAATGGGGCAAAAGGCCCACTCTATAGCAGTTTATAAAAAGCATATTTCCATTAAAACTTGAGTAGCCATTAAGAAAATAACTTTAAATACTTAAGTTTATTATGTATCTGAAATAATGGTAACAAATTTCTAGATACGTTTATTGGATCAGTAAAAAAAAGACGAAATTGCTTATGGTAGGCTTCTTGCCCCACCTTACCCTAAATGTTTTTTTTTTTTTTTACTTTTTGAGCTAATTTAAAGTGCTCATGTTATCAAGTAGTATGGGTAATATTAGCACTTTTGCTACTTTTTTAAATCTTAGTGTATTTAAGAAAAAATTTTGGGTGTCCAAATATCTTAGTGAATTTAAGAAAAAATTTTAAATATCTTAGTGAATCATGAGAAGTGATTTCTAAAAAGTCGCAATATAAAGACATTATAAAAACATTATATAAGCTACGACATGTAGCTAGCGACAATATCGCAATATAAAGACATTATAAAAAAAATAACATAAGAAAAAAAAATTGTCCGAAAATTGCTATAAAGCTAGCTATTCGCTCGCTAGTCGCTAGCTCATTTCCCACTTGGTTATAGTTGTATATTGATTTTCTGTTTCTGTATAGTATATAGAAACAGAAAATTAAATCAGATAAGAAAATAGAGTTGTATAAATATTAAACATTTTTTTATTATTTATAATTTCTTATAGGTTCTTTATTGAATAACAGAATAAAATGGAAAACAGCTTTGATTATATTAGAGGTATTATACTAATATATATTATAATAAACCAAGTTTATTAATTTTGAAGTAATTATCTTTAATTTTTTTGTCACTTTGAATAAAATAACTAATAATTTATACTAATTACTTATTTCTCATTTTAAATCTTTTTTTTTTTAAAATAATATTAATAGCTTAATATTTTTTGGTTTTATTTCTAATTTACAAAGGTTAAAAAAACTATATTTTATTTTAAGTATAGTAATATTTTATTTATAAATCTCATTTTTTAATAATTTTTGTTTTATGAACTAAAACTGAAATAAAAGTTGACACCAATTCCCCAATTTTTATACAACAGCAATATTTTTAAAAAAAGATAAACAAACTTCAATTGTATTTTTTTTATTCATTACTTGTTTGATATGTAATATTGTCTTCTTCTTTACTTTAGCAATTTAAGAACTTAACAGGAAAATTGTGCTGTTTTTAAATTGACGCAAAAAATTTTCTTTAAAAAACAAACTGTAAAGAAGATATTATAAACATAGAAAAAATTATTCATATTTATTATCAAAATTACTTTACATAAATGGTATTTACTTCTTTAAAGTTAAATTTGCTTTATTTGTAACGTATTGTTTTGTGTCAACTTATAACAATTGATAACTTTAGTTAGGATATTGTTTTTTTACAGTGAAGTGTGAAACTAACTGCTTATAGAAGTTATAACTGCATGTAGATATTGTACAGATATGGGTTAAAAAGCATAAAAAACTTGAAATGAATAGTTTTGATTTTAATTTTAATTTCAATTTTGATTTAGTTTTAAAATTAAAATAGTAATAAATTTATAAAAATAATAATATTATTAAAAACAATAATTAACTTTTTTTAAGTAATTTGAAACAAACGACAAAAAAAAAAAAAATCTTTTTATTAGCAATAAATCCTTTTTAGCAATTATTAAAGTTATTTAATAATAATAACAATAATAATAGTAATAATAATAATAATAACAATAATAGTAATAACAATAATAATAATAATAATTATAGCAAAAATATTAACAATAAAACTAAAACGAATTATTTTATTAAAGATACTCAACGAGATGCTATCATAATGAAAGCTGAAGATTTAACTCATGGTTCAAAAAGATTTGGTCGTTTTTTCTCAGTTACCAATCATTCCATAGATTGTTTATTAGAAGAACTATCAACCGTAAACGGGCAAAAGATGCAAAAGATGAATACATTGTCTGAAATTATTCCCTCGGAATCGCAATGTGAAACTGAACACGTTTTAATCTCTTGCGAAGAAGACGGCTTCAAAAAAGAATACAAAAAAAGTAACTTAATGTTTTTATTTTGTGTGTGATTATGTAGATCTGCGTCAGTAACAAATATAATGTTTAAAATGTGTGAGGGGGTTAAAATGTGTGAGGGGTGAGGGGGTTAAGCTTAATAAATAATAAGCTGAATAATTTCATTCAAATAAATTTTTAATACATCAAGGCATTTTTAAGGGTTCGCATTTATCAGCCTCCAGTGGTAATGATCTATATATAGCTTTTATTTTATGTAACCTAAAAATTTAGATTTAACAAATTTAAAAATTTCAAATTTAATAAGATTAAACTTTATAAAGATTTTAGAGCCGCGAAGCAGTGGTTAAAGTTTTTGTTCAGAACCAAAAGGTTCGTCGTTTGACGCTGACTCGACCTAATAATTAGGACGAGTCAGCGTCAAACGACGAATTCGTCGTTTGACGCTGACTCGACCTAACAAGTGACATTCGTGAGGAAGAGCATATAAACTTCTTGGGTAAATGTAAAAAAAAATTTTGGTTCTCCGCGTTGTTTTGAGATAAAACCAATAGGTCTTCTAGAAACACCTTAACTAAATAAAAAAAAAAATTCAACAATTACCGTTCGAAAAAACAATGAATTTGACAATCAACAACAAACGCTTGTCAAAATACAACGTCAACCCTTGTATAGTGTGTTTTTGTCATGAAAAAGTTTAGTTTTTGTTAAATTATTCAAATACTTTTAACATTCTATACTATATTAATGAATTGTTTTTTAGATTCATTATCTAGACAATCAAAACTTGGTATTTTACAGCCTAAAAACACGTTTTTTGCACGCGATAAAGAACTTCGACTTATACATAAAAATATGTTTGAAACAGCAAAACCAAATAAAACTCTCTTGTTAACCGGAATGTCCGGTGTTGGAAAAACACAACTTGCCAGGAAATATTGTGTTCAATATGATAAATATTATGATAATATTGTGTGGTTTGATGCTGCGTTTGGTAATTTACAAGCTTCGATAAACAATCTTTCCGAAAAGTTGGGGTTGAAACTGAATAACGACAAAGAATTTGTCATTAAAATAATTCATGAATATTTCAAAGGAGAAAAGACATTATATGTCTTTGATGGTGTAAACGATGAAAACATTAAAATTCTTGAAAAATACGTTTCAAAAGAGTTGAACTCGTTCACATTGATAACATCACAATGGTCAAGTTTGTGTTTAAACTTTAAACAAATAAAAATTACAACTTTTTCACACGATGAAGGTCTTCTTTTTTTAAAAAATCACATTATCGCAGACGAGGACAAAATTTTAATAAAAATAACAAAAGAATTAATGCATCATCCTTTTGCCGTCAACCAAGTCATTATCTACATTATTAATCACAAAATTTCTTTAGAAAAATATCTCGATCTCCTTCAATCATATCCTACTCAAATTTTTGAAAATTGTTTTAAATATCAAACCGATTGCTATCAAATTGAACCAGAACTGTTATCCGCAATAAAACCAGTAAATCTACTTTTACATAAGTTAGAAGAATGCCATGAAGTTCCGTTAAAAATATTAAACTGTTTGTCGCATTGCAATGGTCAAAAAATCACGAAAAAATTTGTCTTTGAAATATCAAAGCAAATTGAAGTCAATGACAAACATGTTGTAGATAATGCGATTTTATTACTTGTTAAATACGCGATGCTTGATTGGTTTGACAATGAATGTGACCATGTAACAATGCATAAACTAACACAAACGTGGTGTAAATATTATCAGGAAAAAAAGAACATTACCGAAATAAATAAAAAATATATTATAAATTTTTTTAGACAGCTGTTAAATGAAACAACGGACCATTTAGATTACGAAAAAGATTTCCTACCTCATTTTCTACTTATGTTTCGTACAAACAAACAAAGAATGTGCAAAGAGTTTTACAACAGGACAAACAATGTACGAATTTTGTTAACTAAAAACTGCTTTTTTGAAGATGCAATGGATATATTGCAAAGCATCAAAATCTATAATATGGAAGTATTTGGAGAAGGTAATCGATTTACGCTTGATTCTATGCATAATATCGCATTTTGTTTAAGCGATATGGGAAAACATAACGAAGCTCTAGATATGTATTATCACATTGAAAAAATTGAAACTAAAGTATTAGGAGTAAACCATCCATCATTATTGATTACAAAATATAACATTGCATCTTTTTTGTATACCATGGGAAAGTATAATGAAGCTCTGGAGGTTTACTACAATATTGAAAAAATTGAACCTGAAATTATTGGAATCTCTCATCCATCATTATTGATTGCAAAACATAATATTGCATCGTGTTTGTATAACATGGGAAAGTTCAAAGAAGCTCTAGAAATATATTATTACGTTGAAAAAGTAAAAACTGAAAATTTGGGAGCCGATCATCCCTTGTTATTGGATGCAAAACACAATATTGCGAACTGTTTAAACAATATGGGTAAATATAATGAAGCTTTAGAAATCTATTACTATGTTGAAACATTGCAAACTCAATTTTTAGGAAACAAGCATCCGTCGTTATTAATTACAAAAAATAATATTGCGTTTTGCTTAAATAATATGGGAAAGTATAATGAAGCCCTAATAATATACTATCATGTTGAAAATTTAAAAACTGAAATTTTAGGAAACAACCATCCATCGTTATTAGATACAAAACATAATATTGCATCATGTTTGTACAACATGGGAAATTATAAAGATGCTTTAGAAATTAATTATTATGTGGAAAAAATTCGAATTGAAATTTTAGGAAAAAATCATCAATCAACTTTAACAACAAAAAACAATATCGCAAGCTGTTTAGACAACATGGGCAAGTTTAAGGAAGCTCTTGAAATATATTACTGTATTGAGAAGATACAAGCTGAAACTTTAGGAACTCATCATCCGTCGTTCTTGACAACAAAAAATAACATCGCCTATTGTTTAAACAACGTGGGAAAATATAACGAAGCTCTAGAAATTTATTATTTTGTTGAAAAAATAGAAACTGAAATTTTAGGGATCAATCATCCGTCTTTATTAACTACAAAAAGTAATATTGCACTCTGTTTAGACAACATAGGTCGTTACGATAAAGCTTTAGAAATTTTCTATCATGTAGAAAAAATACAAACTGAAATTTTAGGAAATAATCACCCTTCGTTATTAATTACAAAATATAATATTGCATTTTGTTTAGAAAACATGGGAAATTATATCAAAGCTCTAGAAATTTATTATTATGTAGAAAAAATGCAAACCGAAACTTTAGGGCCAGATAATCCATCAACTTTGCTTACAAAAAAAAATATTTCTCTATGCTTAAGCAAGTTAAAAAAGCATGATAAATGTCTGTTATTGTAGAAAATGTTTATAAAAAACATATTTTTTGCAATTTATAAATCTAAAAATGTTTATTGTAAAATATGTTACGTAAAAATATTTTATAATTTAAAAATTAAATTGTTTAGATTTTAAAATTTTAGAGATTCCTTTACAAAATACTTTACAAAATTTATTTCAGTCTGTTAAATTATTAAGATATTAAATATACAATGTTAAAGATTTTCCCTCTTAACATTAGATTAAATTTGCTAAGCGGATCAGTATTTACGACTGTGTTACTTAGTTAATTTTTGTTTTGTGTTTGTTAGTAAATACATTATAAGGCGTTTAGGTGTTAAGAGCAAAGATATGTAGACAGGCCAGGGGTTAAAGTAGGGGGAACGCAGGGGAACGCCGTTCCTCTTTAACCGATAAATCAAGAAATCATTCCACTTCGTTCATTATTTTTTTGCAGCCGTTCCACCTCATTTTTCAGTTTTTTTTTTTTTTTACAATGGGATTGTCCATAAATTACGCAACGCCTAATTAATGGACAATCCCATTTCAAAAAATTCTTTATAGTAGTAGGGGAAAGCGGGGCAACATGGCGAACGTTTTGAAAACCATAAGTTATTGCAAAACTCTCAATAGCGAAGCAATAATTACATTTGAGCAGCCGTGGCGCAGTGGTTAGAGTTCTGGCTCAGAACTCAGAGGTCCGAGGTTCAATGCCAGCTCTAGCCCAGCAAGCAACATTGGTACGGAAGGAGGCGTAAACTTCCTGTTAAATGCTCACCCGCGGTGCTCTATGATAAGACCGTAAGGACTTCTGGGAGCACCTAAATACATACAAAAAAAAAAAAAATACTCTCTCAGTAAGTTTATGTTATTAAAATGATTCATTGCCTGCATGAATTTTCAGTTTTCAAATATAACAGTTTGAAATAAATATAAAAATGAAAAGTTCAAAATAAACACAAATGGCAAAAAAGTACTTCTAAAGAAGTTAAACTTAAAAGACACACCATCCATCATGAGAAACCGAAACTGAGGAATTTTTTTTTAAGCGCAAAAAGTAAACTTATGCGGATAAAATTGCGTTAATTAATATTTATAAAAACCAATTGGTGTTTTAAAATACAAGATGCAAATACAGTTTCGTTTTCACCCATTTTTAAAATTTTTTGTTGAGTTGTTATATGAAAACCCATCTTGCCCCATTCGCCATGTTGCCCCGCTTTCCCCTAGATCATTTTCACTTTTTTCCCACTGATTTTTATTGAAGTGAAAAAGCTATTTTAATTTTTGCAAATATTTATACCTAATATTAAGTAGTATTAATCATCACGCGAGATCTCGAAATATAGCAAAAGTGCACCTAACAAAAATACACCTACACTGTAGGTGTATTTTTGTTAGGTGCACTTATGCTGTATTTCGGAATCATTTCTTCAGATTTTTGCTGTAGACTACAGCAAAAATCTGAAGAAATGATTCCGCACCCGAATGAGCTATTCCTCATCCCTTTGAACAACATTTTGAACTTTTTAACACCGTTTTACCTGGTTTACTATTCTACTTTAATCCCTGAGACAGGCTATTATTCTTCTTTAGAAAAGATGGTCATAGATTAAAGTCAACTGTTTTTTTTTATTAAGTATAAACAATAATCCAAAAAAACGCAATATACAACTTTGTTTGCTAAAGAGTTAATCATAGCAAAAACTGTTTATTTTTATGTATAGTTTTTTTTTTTGAGCATTGCTGAAATTATTCAAGGTATGTAATGTTTTACTTGTAACTTTTTTTAATTTTTTTCTTATAAATCTGTTATGGTTTTTTTGTTTAAAGTTTAGGTACCTGTATATAACTAACAAGTTGTATCATATCTGGAGCGGATCTTCGAATGGGGCTCATTATCATTTAGACACGGTGCACAAACACATTGTAAACATAGTTGGACCTGCTCTTGCAACAAAGTTTAAATTACTGTCAATAATGATGGCACAAGATGTACTTACTACTACATTTACTACTACTAGATGACACAAGAAACACTAGTTCTAAAGAACTAGTGTTTCTTTTGACATCTACTAAAAGCAATTCTCGTGATACTCGTCATTTAATTAAGTTTCATCTTTTTACGGTGACTGTTCCTCAGTGCTCCAAAAATTCTCTTTTGTCTAGTTTTTTTCCTCGAACATCAGCTCTTTAGAATTTGCTCCGTACACCTTGTTTTCCTGATATAACTTGCAATCTTTTAAGTTGTCTGTTAATTGTTATCTTGCTTTATAAGGTTTATCTTTTCTCTTTTAGAAACTTCTAACTCTAATAGTGGTTGCTTGTAGCCTTGTTGGTAGTGAAGATTTTTAAAAAAAAAGGTATATACAGGTACCTAACAAATATATGCTTATTATGTATAAACCTAAAAGGTATAACAGGTATATACCTGTTATGGTTTTTGTTACTGATAGTAACAACCCTATAACAGGCACATTGTACACACAGGCACACTGCTAGATGATAAATTTTTTGATTGCTTTCACATTGACGGAAATCATCATGATGACATCATTGAAGACATCATGATGACATCATTGAAAGCATTATGATAACATCATTGAAAGCATCATGATAACATCATTGAATTAAAATCATCATAAGAAAGATTTCATAACTATTGAGCTTTAATCTTTGTAAATCCCGAGTCAAACGAAAGTCAAACTAGAAGACAAAAATAATAAGATTGTAAGTTTAATTAAATACAAAAATGTTAGAGGCCATTGGTGCATACAAAAACCTATATATCCTACTTCAAATAATCAACATTAAAAAATATTTTTCTACTAATATGACCATTACCATTCAAAGTTTGTCAATGCCATTCGCATTTTTTTTGACAGCCAATACAGCCATTTTTTTTTGACAGACATACAATGGGAAGTTTCTTCTATGCTTCGTTACTTGCAGAGCAAATTGTGCGTTAAACATAATTTTAAATGTTTTAAATTAGTTCAGATTCTGCTCAGTTTGCCTAAATTATTCAAACCAAACAACCAAAATTATACCTGGGATCTAATTTACATTCGGGCTTCTTTTACTCGGGTAGTTGTTAGCATAAATATTGGAACAGAACTATAGTATACCTGTGAACAAATTGCTTGAAACATTTGTTGAATTAATAAGCGTTTCAAAAAGTGCCATAAAAGATTTGCACTAATTGCATTGGATATTGCAATCTTAGCTAAAGAACTTGTCAGTGGTTTTCTTTTTTTTAAATTACTACCAGTTCCAGTTCCTAGTAATAATTTTAAATGTTATCACAATAGCTTGAAATTCTAAAAATTATTTTCAAAGTTTTCAAAGTTGTCAAGCATTAAAAAAAAGAGTAACCCCTATTGAAGTTGAACCAAGAACTCATTTTTCTTCACAGATAAGCTTTCATTTCTTACTCCTGACAAAAAAACTTTTTGCTACACAATTTTGTGTCTGAGGTGTGACCTCGTACTAGTTGCAAAAACAGTTCTGTTAGAGACTACATATGAACACAACTTGCATTTGAATTCTGCATGGACACAACTTACATTTTTTGAAGTCTGTTCGATATCTTTAAACATAAAATATGTTTTGAATCAACATAAAACATGTTTTAAATTGGGTAAAATACTGACTCCGAGAATGAACCATCAAATTATTTAAGAAGATTTTATTTAAAAATATATAAGTTACAACTAATACAATTTATATAACTCTTTGCAACTTTTTTGTATAAAAATTTTTAAATACTTGTTTACAATACATTTAAACTTTATTTACAAATAGTTTTATTATAAGGTTCCTGAATTTTAAATTTCTAATTCGAGATTAAACTTGAGTTTCGTAACAATAAATTTTTTATTCTCCACTTAATGCGGTATTTTATTAGTACTATAACGTAACATATTTGTACACGAAATCTTTTCTAATAATTACTCCGTATTAAGAAGTGACCGGGACCCTAGCCCCTGCTAAAAATGAAACTTTTTTGCAAACTCAGCCACGGCTCCGGTTCCGGCAAAAGAAGATTTAGCAGGTTTTGATAGCCAGGGCTAGAAAAAAATTTATAATACGTTATAACTACATGACATAATATATTGAAACGTAAAATAATATAACATAATAATACCACGTATAACATATCATAATAAAAAGTGGTTTAACAAGTATAACTAAGTATAGCGTAAATTAATAGTGTTTCTTATCATAAAAACTGCCTGTATTTTTTAAAAATAAAAGAATAAAAATAAGAAAAGTAAAAAAAATAAGACAAGAAATCTTTTTGTTACTTCAGATATATACATGCTGTTGTAAAGGAAAACTCGTAGAAGTCTAAGAAGACTTATCATCGAGTACCTCATTAAATGGTTAGATAAAGTCTATTTTATTTCTATATATAGTCAAAAGTGATTAAACAATATACAGTCAATGATACACATAAATATTTTAGTATAATTTTTAATTTTAGTGTTAAGTTTGTCGATACAATTGTTGATATTAAGTATGAGATATTTTAATTTATTTTTCAAGGTGGCAGGATTGTTTGATACTTTAAGTTCTATATTTTTATATATTATTTTGTAATATAGGGATGGAACCCGGTAGGAAATAGAAAACTGTGAGAACTTTGTTGTTCTTTTAGGCAGTGTGAACAGTGACCTGTTGCTCTTCTTATAAATCTCTTAGAGTTTACTTGAAAGAAGTTATCTAAAAAATGCGATGGGACTAGTCCAAGTTTGTATTTAAGCATAAATAGTACATTTTGGTAGATGTTAATTTGGTAAACATTTAGTGTATTCAAGGTTTTTAGTTAGGGTTCAGCATGGGTGAGTTTATATTTATTATAAACTAATCTTGATGCATGTTTTTTACTTATATAAACAGTACTCAGTTTGGATTTGTGTGTACTTGCTCATGTAATATTAGCTTACGTGAGATAACTTTAAATGTAAGAAAAATAAAGCGATTTAAGATTATGTTGGGACAACATAGATTTAACTTTGTAAAGTATCCCAATATTTTTTGAAATTTTGGTGTTTATTGTACTTATATGGGCTCTCCAAGATATATTTTCGTCAACAAGTATCGCAAGAAATTTAATTGTTTCTGTTCTTTCAATGTTTATCTTATCTATTTTTAGTGAGGGAAAGATAGTTGGTATATTATTTTTTTGTTTTTTGGAATGAAACAATATGTATTTTGTTTTTTGTGTATTTAATGATAATACATTCGTTCTTCATACATTTATAAAGGTCTTTGATTAAGTTCGAGGAATAAAATAAGTTTGTGTCATCGGCAAACATAATTACATCAAGATTTTCCAAGGCTTTTGTAAGGTCGTTAATATATTGAAGAAACAGAAGAGGTTCAAGAACGGAACCTTGGGGGATACCGCACTCAACTCTTAGTAGTTTTGAGTGTTTATAATTATCTGAAAAAACACATTGTTGTCTGTTGTCTAAATAGTTTTTGAATCAGTTAAGATTTATGTTTTTTATTCCATAACTTTCCATTTTTTAAAGTAAGATATTAAGATTTACAGTATCAAATGCTTTTGACAGGTCTATAAAGATGCCTAGAACTAATGTTTTTTATCAAAAGAATCAGTTATATCGTTAACTAGATTTAGGATTGCGTGTTCAGTTGAATATTGTTTTTTGAAACCAAATTGCTTTTAATTAGGATTTTATTTCGGATTAAATACTCATACAATCTGTTATAGATTACTCTTTCGAGAAAAGGTAGGGAGTACCGAGATAGGTCTATAGTTATTAATTAGATATGATTCACCTGTTTTAAATATTGGTACTACTTTAGCTACTTTTAACTTGTTTGGTGCAACTCCTGTTTTAATCGAAGACTTAAAAATTTCAAATATAGGTTTTTTTTATCGTTGTAAAGACATTTGTTATACCCTACTACAGATATCATCTATACCTGGAGTTTTATTTAATTTTAAGAAATTTAGAGCAACATTAAGTTCTTGGTAGTTTTGTTTTTTGTATTTTAGTTCGCTCTGGGTATCACTTCGGTATGATTTAAATGAGTTATTAGGAGACTTAATTTTTGAGTTAAGACTAGGGCCAATGTTAACAAAACATTCGTTGAATTTGTCAGCAATCGTATTTTTGTCACTGTACTCTATATTGTATATGACGATTTGAGCAGGTAAACTATTTGGTTTAACTTTTTTGTTCCCAATTATTTCTTTTATAGTATTCCATGTTTTTTTAATGTTACCACTTGCATTTTTTATTTGGTTCGAGTAGTAATTTTTCTTCTTTTTCAAATAGATTTTTGTATTGTTTGTAAGTATTTAGATTTTTTTCATTTCTATTATTTAAATACTTTATGTAAATTTTTTTTTTTTTTCTGAAGATTTTTTATACCTCTAGTAATCCATGGACACTGTAAGTATTTTACTTTTAATTCTTGTTCTATTATAGGGAAGTGATAATCAAAGTGCTTTAAGAATATTTCTATTAAATTCATCATGGAGTTGGTACTTAAAATACATAATACTTAAAAGATTTAAGTTCACATGTATTTAATTTTGGTCTGATGAATCCCTTTCATTTGCAGAAAAATGGTTGTTTTATATTTTTTTGACCACATTAACTTTGACTTCAATACTTAAAGTTGCCTATTTTACTATTTTAGCACCCAACATATTATGATACAATGTTTTTTGTTATTTTAGTGGGTCATTAAAATACCTTTTTTCCAGATATTTTTCTTTATAATGAAAATGAGTTGCAATACATTATTTATTGTTATTGTATTACAGTATTACAATAATTGTAAATCATAGTTATTGTTGTTATTTTAAAAAAAAATAATACAATAACAGTAGTTATTGTTTTCATTACAATTACAACAGTCCGAATCCTAATATACTTCAATCAATTCTCAGATGTTCACTACTTGTGAGTGAACATTTCGCAAATTTACATACCGAAACTCTATATTGGTTCTAACACGTAAAAGTTAGTGTTATTTCTATCCTAGTCATTAAGAATTATTTTTATAACACATCTCTCAAATGCAATTACAGTTTTCCTAATATCTTTGGAATAGATAAGATTCAGAAGTCAAATATAAATCTATGCATAGATTTTAAATCGTACTCTAAAACATGACAAGGCTAGTTTGACGTAAGTTCAGAGATATATCTCTGAACTTACGTCAAACTATGTCATGTTCCAGAGTAAGATTTAAAATCTCTGTATAGATTTATCTCTGACTTCTGTTTTGGAAAGTTTTAATTTTTAATTCGAACTCTTTTTATCATATTTTAATTCAGGCTCTTTTACACTGATCGCTAACTGACTAAAAGAATACAAAACTTGACCCAAACAACACTCTCGCACTACATCTATACATGGAAAGGGAAAAAGAAGCTTTACCACAATTGTTCTTTTTTTCTTTCCTGGTTTGTGCTACTTTACAGTTCTGTGTGCTCTTTAAATTTCAATATTATTTTTTAATTTTTTAAAAATAACATTGAAAAACTTTGAACTTTAATTCGCTATCTCTCAAAGTTTCAAAACGATGGTTGTTCCGTCTACTCCTATCTTACAATTCAACTAGCTTATGTTGAGTAGTTTCATTAATTTTTAAATTCTCATTTTCTTTGTTATATGTAATGAGTTTCTTTAATAACTTGTTCTAGATCATTAATTATTTGCCCTTATTTTCCATTTTTGAAATTTGAAAAACATTATCTAATTCAAATTTAATATCTTTTACTAGAATGTTATGTTTTTTATTATCTTTAAACTCAAGTGATTTAATTTTTAGCACCGTAGTTTATTTTTAACTGAATTTCTCCAATTTTTCCCGAAGGAAATATAACAAATAACTATTCTATCGATAACAATTAGAAAAATGTTAACTATAAATATGTAAAAACTGAAAACAAATTTATTATTTTAAGGTTAACTAATTAACTTATTTGAATTCTTTTCTGAATATAATCTTTAAAACCTGCTTTGATCTAAAAATAACGTTAGCAACAACACACTTGATCCCAAAATAATAAACACATTTATTCCCTCAAAACACACATACTCGAAAACAAATACGTTTTTTATGGATACGTAATGTGAATCTTTGATAGCCTGAATTGGTATGTTATTTCAGAGTTTAAGAATTGGTATATATCATCACATTTCCATCAGAAGACAGTTGGTTTGTTGGCAATTTGTTTATAGGATAATTAGGAGCAATTGATGTTTTTCTTATCACCTTTTTTTTTATTTTTTAATTTTTTAATTTTTGAACATTCAAAGCAAATAAAAATGGTATTGTGAACACTTTTGCATTTCTGAGTTAAAATATTTAAAAAGTAAGTCTATTTCAGAAATTCTTAATACTCTATCTTTCTGCAACAATGTTTGTTTTTATGAAAATTATTTAAAAATAGCGAAAGTAAAAAAAATACGAAAAATTATTTTACATCAATAATTTCAAAATATACATCTTGCAATTGTCGACTAGGTAAACCATAAAATATAGGTATTTTCTATTTCAGCGGACCAAATCCAAAACATTTGAGCGTACAGTCATTATTTTTTTTTTTTTTTTTTTTTGTATGGGAGGAGAGTGGTCACCCTAATAAAAAAACTTTTAATGGTATTTTATAATATCTAGTACGATGAGATATGATATCCAAAATATATACAAACTAACCGCATAAACCAGTGTATTTTTAGAAAATTAAACTTTTTAATATTTTTCACATTTTAAGTAGAACTTTTTCATAGTTTCCACATTTTGAATAGAGCCTTTTTAATAAAGCCTTTTTAATAAAGTAAATATAGCAAACCCTATTTGACTCCTAGCCTGACCCGTGTCCGTTCCAAATATACGGTTTCTAAAAATAGTTATTTTTTTATGTGTTCTACTAAACTAGATCACAATTCATTGATTTCGAATCAAAAAAAAAATTCTCATGTAGAAGTTACAATCATTCAAAGTTATTTCAGTGGGTAAATAGGGGGTGATAAACTTCACATGATTCATTATAAAAAACGTTTAAAATAATAAACAAAACAATTTGAAACCAATCAATAAATTTCGATCTAATTTATGATTAAACTTTAGACAAAAATTTATGATGTTAGTTGACGTTGTTCCAGGAAAAGGGTGTTTCGAGGTCATAGCGAGGTTGCGTTAGTTTTAATTACATCAACTTTTTGCAAGTCATTTCCGTCTGACACAGTGGCGGATTAAGATTTTTTGGGGCCCGGGGCTATTTTTTTTGGAGGCCTTTTTATGGGCCAGAGCCTAAAAATGACTTAAAAAAATAAAAAAAAAAGGTCCTCTAAATTTTGTTGGGGGCCCCTAACTTTGCGGGGCCCGGAGCTATAGCCCTCCCTAGACTATCCCTTGAACCGGCACTGGTCTGACACCAGTATCGTCATACTAGAAACTTGAATGATTAGAACAAAAAAAATTATTGGGCACTCGCCTAAAATACGTAATTTCTTCCCAGGCCCCGTGAAAAAGTTGTTGTAAACATTTTTCTTATAAGAAAGATTTTTCATTTCATATTATAACAAAAAATCAATTTATAACGATGTTATACAACGATCTTATATAACGATGTTGTATAACGCTGTTACAAAACGATGTCAGAACGTCGTAAATCAACGGTGGAACAACGTTGAACAAACAAGACGGTACATATAATTAATAAAAATTTAACACCGGCTGCCTGCTGGATAGAGTTATGTACAAAAGTTATACTTTTGTAAATAATTATAACATTTGATGTTGTTTCATTAGAATTTTTACATAATTTAGAGTATAACGTTACAAAATATTTTGTTAAAAACCGTTTTTAAACACGTCATGTTTAATGGATAAATGTACTACACAAAAACTGTTTGCAGTTTATTTTTCTTTTTTTTTTCTTTTTTTTTCTTTTTTTTTTACTATTGTTTATTTATTATTATTTTGTTAATATACAAATTTGATTGCCTCATATTTTTTCATTAATCATTACTGTTGCTTGTTTAAAGAACCGGTTCGGTACTTTTTGTGTCAATCTAAAGTATTTCGCATGTAGTTTCTACTGATTTCTTCATGTTTTTTTTTTTTTATTTATATACTAGAAATGCTCTTTTTTAGTATAACCGATTTATAAACTTGTCGCAAACCGTTTTTAATGTCTTTTTGTTTTAAATAATAAATAAGGGGATTTATACAAGAATTTGCTTGCATTAGAAAAATTGCACACAGGTAGAAGATTCGATGAGCAATGACGTCATATTTTACATTTGAAATCTCTAAAATCAGCCAAATATTTAAAGGAAAAATAAATGCAAAATAACATGTGAATAATAATGTTACGGATTTAGCTACTTTGGTGTAGTACTTTTGCCTTTTTAAATTTTTGATTAAAAAGTAATTTACAGACGATTTTATTAACTTGTTTTGTTTATTAATATTTTTGTCAACTTGGCTGTAGCAAGAGACACTTTGATAAATTTGATTATTTTGACGAAACTCTACTCTTTTATTATTAAGTGCTTTAATTATTAAAAAATAAAACGTTCCTAGAGCAACTACTGAAAGGGTAAAATTTAAAATACGTAGAACAACATACGCATTCATATTAAGTATTTTGGCAATAGGTATTGTTCCAGGAAAAATCCAAGAAAACCCAACAAGTGTAAATCCCCATCTTTTGGTCATATATTTGTTGTAGTTAGTTAGTTTAGTCATAAGTAAATATCGATCGTACGCTATCACTGCCAACGTTAACAAGGAAGATCCACCAAGTAAAACGAGGAAGTAGCTACGAATAAAATGAGCCGTGCAGTTTGATAATAGGTTAATGTCAAAAACTTGTGCCAATGTCAATGGACCAAGAATTATCCCCACGAGTAAATCAGATATGGAAAGAGACATTAAAAGATAATTAGATATTGCTCTTTTTTGCATTCTCACGATAACAATAAAGACACAAAAATTACAAACAATTGCGGCGAGAATTGGTATAATAAGTAGTATTCCAAAGATCTTTAAATTTGGTAACTCCAATAAGTTTGTACGCCAACAAATCATATTTGCTACTTAAACATTTACTAAAAAAAATAAAAAAACAATTTTTGTAAAAAATATAAAAACGCATGGAAAAAATTTAAAATAAAAAAATGAAGTTACGAGTTAAACATGTGATTTGAAAATAGGAATATATATAAGAAATCGGATTTAGAAGGAGGATTTAGACTTTTTGGAGCCCGGGGCTATCTTTAGTTTTGGAGGCCTTTTAATCGGAAACCAGTAGAAATAGTAGAGCGATGTGAACAACTTTGGGTACCTTTGACGTTTTTGAGAATTAACCTTTGTTTTGTATAAAAAGATGATTTTGAATGGAAAGAAGGGTTCTATATATATATATATATATATATATATATATATATATATATATATATATATATATATATATATATATATATATATATATATATATATATATATATATATATATATATATATATATATATATATATCCAATAATACATCAACAAAATGCAGTCAGTTATTGTATGTATTAAACCACCCACACCACCATTGGCAACTTAAAAATAGCCTAATGGTGGTTTGGCAGTTTTTAAGTTGCCAACTTTCCTAGACGGCATTTGGTCCTAAAAAGACATCTTTTTAACCTTCAAAAAATGTTTTGAACGTCTTTTGAACGTTTAAAAGACGTCTTTTCAAAATTAAATGCCGGCTGAGTTAATGCATTTATGTACCAACCTTGTTCTTCTATCATTTTCAGAGCTATTATGCTCCACAAGGCGGATATTTCCATTATATTATGGTCCACAACAAGTCTTGTTCAAATAAAAAAAAACTTTATTTCAATAAAACGTTTAGTATTTAAAAACATTTCTGTATAATTTATTCACAAATTTACCTTAGCGTTTTAAAGAAACAATTTTTATTTTTTTTAGAAAAAACAAACTTTAACTTTTTGAATAAAAAGTTCTTGTTTCTCCTCGATTCTTTTAACGCTAGTCTATTTTACTTGTATATTTTAAATAAAATAAAAGAAATAAAGCTTTACAAAAGTAATTAAAATTTAATATAATAAAAAATAAGTTTAAAGTGATAAAAATTCATAGTAAAGAAGAAGCCACTCCTGACATTCAAAATAAAGACGGTGATAAAACCCATTTTATTTAATTTTCTTATCAAAGAAATATCAACCATTCCTAGCATTCCATGCCAAGAAAATTTTGAGCCATGCTAAAAAGAAACAGAAATATTTTTAGTATAATTAGTTTCATCAGATAAAGCAAATACGATTGTATACAACAGATACAACGACAGAGATCTGGAATCGACATTTAATTCATTTTCAACTATAGATCTAATAGACAATTACATATTAATAAAAAATAAACCAATATAATTTGCAATTTAAGTTTGTATGGATAAAGGGAAGGTTATGAAGGCTAAGTAGCTAGGCTACGGAGTTATATTAAACCTTATTTTCGGTAATATAAAAGTACTCTTGTTATTGTTTTTCAGTGGATTGTTTTAGCAATGTTGAAAACTGTTTGCAATAAAGTAAATAGACGAATATATAACATTTATAAAAATAATATCATACTAGCGGTTATTTGACTTAAAAAATACGTTTTATAAACTTTCGAAAACTTTCTTTTTTGAACCAAATGCAGACTAGGATGTTAACAGAATAAAAAATAATAATCTTATAGTTATGCATTATAAAAATAATTTACAAACTTTTAATGTAAAAACAATAATATATTGACAGTAATAACATTCATACATGCATACATACATACACACATACATACATACATACATACATACATACATACATACATACATACATACATACATACATACACACATACATACATACATACATACATACATACATACATACATACATACATACATACATACATACATACATACATACATACATACATACATACATACATACATACATACATACATACATACATACATACATACATACATACATACATACATACATACATACATACATACATACATACATACATACATACGTTATTATTTTTCTTTATATTTTAAGTTTGAGGTTTAAAAAAAAACACACGGAAAGCCTATTTATGTTACATCAATACCCTTACTTTTTACCCTTACCTTAGTTATCACTTAGTTATTATTTGTAATACCTTAAATTAAATACTTTGTCTAAAATTTGAAATACGAGCTGTAAATCGTACTCAAAAAAAAAACTCGGTTGTTTTTACTTTGAACTAAATATTTTAACCAAGTTGTTTAACATAAATAAGTTAATTATTTTTTTGTATCAATTAAAAACTCAGAGAGTTAAAATGCATATAAAAACATAAAAACTGTTTTTTCATATTAAAAAGAGAATTCAAGTTCATATTAAAGTGCGTAAATTTTGAATAAAATTCACGCGCATGTTTAAATCCGTATTCAAGTGCAGAAATACATTAAATGATTTATATAGGGTAGGGTGGGGCAAGATGACCCGTGGGGCAAGAAGTCTTTTTGCTTTTGTGAGGGTATCATAGAATAGTAATGTTTTATTCCTCTATTATAATATTAAAGTTATATATATAGTTAAAACAATATCACGGAACAAAAAATAGTTTAAATATCGTTATTAGTTTAAATATCGTTAAGGTTTAAATAGATTTTTAACTTTTTTGAGTATTTTGTTAGTAAGTTGCTTCTAACTTCAAATGTTTATTGGACTGGCAATACTTATGCGATGAAGGTAAGAAAATAATTTTTTTTTATACAGAATTTGTCCTACAATAATATATAGAAAAAAAAATTTTTAATTAAGCAATAAAATTAGTTTTATTTGTATTAAGCTTGCACTCACTACATATGAGGCAAGATGTCCTCGTTTACGTGGGGTAAGATGCCCACGGAGGGCTTCTAGTCTCGTGGTTTTACGGAATTTCTACCATTTTAAAAGTGTGTTTAGAACATAATAACGTTTTCTAATTTAGTTATTGACTTTGTTTACATGTTGGTTTATGTGTTGATAACTATTATACATATATATAAATAATTTTTTAAAATAATTTTATATATTTTTAAAATGTTATAATATGTATGCTAAATAAAGTGAAGTGTGAAGATGTATTACATGCAGTTACTGCAATTCAATCCATACTTGTAAAACATTTATAAATTATTTATAAATGTATATATAGATGTATTATAAATACATTTTTCAAATTTGCATTGCATTTAGGGAAATAAAGTTGTATTATATTAAATTAATGATCAGCAATTGAATGTAAATAATAATAATAACAATAACAAATTAAAAAAATAATAATACCATTGTTATTAATAATTCTTGGGTAACTTTGTGCAAAAATTGTATGCATATAACTTAAGTAAGTTCTTATTTAACTTAAAAAGAGTTAATTTATGAATGTAAGGTAATGTTTGAAACAATAGTATATTAAATAATTATATAATACTTTGCATGTATTTCCCTATCGGCACATCTAGTTTTTTTTTCGGAAATAAAACCTATATAGGCACGTGTTTTTCACGATCCAGGCGTAAACCAAAAGCACGTGTTTATTACGGGCAGTTTTTCTAGAGTTTAACACGTGTTTTTTGAGGTTTTAAAGTCAAATTTAAATGTTGCATGTTTTTATCAGTGGTTTCACATTCCTTACGGAAAGTTATTAAAATATAATACTACGTTTCCATAACGGTGAAACCATTAATACTTTAACTGGTATTTATGGTAAATAGTAATAGTTAATTTCATGGAATAAAAACCATTTAGGATACGTGTTATTCTTTTTGTTTTAGAAGGTTTTAAAAACGCAACAGAAACCAAGCGTAACTATTTTCTGAGTTGTGCCGGCTGGGTTAGATGTTTATATAATTTAATTTTAAAATTTTTATTTAGAAACATATTTAAACAATTTAAATAATGGTGAAAAATTATGTGCGAAAAACACAGAGAGGTGCAACAAATGATAGGATAAAGTCAGCGTTAGAAGCTATGGAGATGGGCTGCAGTCTGAAAAATGTTGCATCAGAATTTAGTATTAACAAAAAAACATTACAACGTCATCGAGATGGAAAAGTAAAGGTAGTTGGTGGTTTATCTCTGGGTGGAAAATCTCCTGTATTTAGTAAAGATTTTGAATTAAACATTGTAACACAAGTTCAGATTATGGAAAGAGCATTATTTGGCTTGACAACAATAGATATACGTCGCCTAGCATATGATTTTGCTAAACAAATAGGAATTGAAAATCCTTTTAATAATGAATCAAAAATGGCAGGAAAGGATTGGCTGAAAGGATTTATGTCTCGCAAAATACAACTTTCTATTCGAACCCCATAAGCCACCAGTGTAAGCAGAGCTATTGGCTTCAATAAACCAAAGTTAAATCAGTTTTTTTTTAGTATACAAGTCATTATTTGAGGAACATAAGTTTTCAGCCAAACAGCTCTGGAATATAGATGATACTGGAATAGCAAATGTCCATAAGCCAGGAAAAATAATTGCAACAAAGGGAAAACGACAAGTTTCAAAAATAACTAGTGGAGAAAGAGGTGCTACTGTGACTGTCGTGTGTGCAATGAGTGCAAGTGGTGTTTATGTCCCACCATTATTTATATTCCTCCATAAGCGAATGACTGATAGGCTGGCTTTTGGTGCACCTTCAGGGTCAATTGTTAGAGTTAGCTCCAGTGGATGGACAGATTCATCTTTATTCATCGAATGGTTAACATATTTTGTTACTGTGACTCATGCATCTAAAATAATGAGCAATTAATTGTACTCGATGGTCATCATAGTCACAAAACACTTGAAGCCATTAACTTTTGTCGCAACAATGGGATTCACCTCATAACTGTTCCACCTTATTGTACACACAAAATGCAACCTTTAGACCGTACATTTTTCAAACCATTGAAAGTTGGTTACAATACTGCAGCAAGCAACTGGATGTTATCACATCAGGGGCGTAAATTTCATTTTTTGACATGGCAGGTATTTTTACAACTGCCTATAACTTTACTGCAAACATTGACAAAGCAATCAATGGATTTAGATGCTCTGGTTTATACCCAATAAATGAGCTTATTTTTAACGATGAAGCCTTTGATGAGGCTTTTCTCACTGATGAAGCTATACCATTGGAAAGCTGTCAGCAATCAAGTGATTTGCCTAGTATACCTCTTGTTGCACCTATTCAGTTGCCAGATGTCATAAGCACCGCAACTGTTGCCTCAAAAATGAAGACTGTTACAAAAGAACCAGCACAATCAAATGATGCAGTTTTGCCAGTTGTTAATGAGCATCTTGGCCTTAAATCCGCCCCTAATATTTTGGAAAAGATTTCCCCGCGTCCTAAAATTACTGTATTAAGACAGCGTAAAAGAAAGACAGAATCAGCTGAAAATCTTACTTCTTCGCCTTTCAAGAAGAGATTAGAAGAACATAAAAACTGTAAAAGAAAAGCAACAAGAAGCAATATTGCGTAAAGAAAAAGCTGCACTTAATAAGGTAATCAAGCAAAAAAAGAAATCAATAAATTTGAGGACAAAAAAACCAAAGAAGTCTAAAAAGCAGAAAGCCTCTCAATGTTTTGTAACTGATACTAATTTATGCATCATATGCTCTTGTGCTTATAATGTGCCCCCATTTGATGATTGGACACAATGTACTAAATGTACATCTTGGTACCATTCTTCGTGTGGTCCAGATGATTTAGACTTATGCTACTACTGTGAATCATAGTCATGTATATATATCGTTATTAGAACATTTATTTTAGTTATTTATTGCTAATAATTAAAAAAGAAGTTATTTATCTTCAAGACAATTGTATAGAATAATTGCATAGTATTTATTTGCATATTTCAGTTGTTTTAATAAAATGTAGAGTAAATAAAAAAAATAATAAGGGCTTTTATTTTTAAGAACTTTTTTACTGGTTTGGGGAATAACGCGTGAAAAGCTTTCTTTCTTTAAATCCATAGAGCATCTTGCCCCACCACTGGGGCAAGATGTCTTCTGGCACAAGTTTTTTTTTTTTTTTTGATTTTAAAGTTTATCAACAGTAACAAAGTAGTTATTTTATCTTACCAATGTCTTCCCTTATAAGTTTTTGATATTAAAAAGAAAAAACTTTGATATTAAAAAGAAAAAACACAAGAAAATGTAAAAGTATTTATTATATACGATAAAGTTTGTTAAAGGGGGGCATCTTGCCCCACCCTACCCTAGGTTTATTCTTGAATGGAGAGATAATTGCATTTAAAAGAAAAAAAAATGTTTCTAAACTAATTTTTCTATTCGAAAAGGAAAGAATATTTTATTCAAAAAATAAAAGTATTATATTAATGAAAAGCTTTTCAAAGTCAAAACCATTGTTTTCCAAAATTAATTTGAGAAAACGCCAAATCAAGTTATCGTTTCTCAAATTGTATTTGTTTATCTTTTAAGATGTATAAGTTATGAAAAAATACAAGGGAGAAAAAGAATTACATTTGTATATAAAAAAGCTTTTAAAAAGTTCCAATGGTAGCCATTGGCTCATTTTTTAGGCTCTTTTTTTTTGGTTACTTCTCTTGTATTCTAGATCTTTTGCCCTTCAATTTTGTTGCTTTTCTGTTATCTTTTTCAAATTTGATGCAGCGTCTTTCGCACATAGGGTAGAGGGGGCTAGTTTAGCAATTTTTACTGATACTATTAGATCTCATGAACGACGCGTCGGATTTACATAACTTTAAATTTATTTGAGAAGATATTGTTCAAAGTTTACCGAGCTGCTCAACTTGGCCCAATGGGGTAAGTTGAGTAAATGTGTGGGGTAAATTGCACAATCAAGGAATAAATCAATAAGCATGATATAGAACTTCGAGAAATCATCAAAAAAAACTATCGTTTAAAAGTAAGGAAGCTTGTCTACAAGAGAAGAGAAAATGCTAAATAGTAAGAAAGTGTCATAAAATATAAAAATATTGTTTTATAAAATTATTTTGAACTTTGATGCCCGATTTAAAAATTACTAATTTTAATTATATGTATTTAATGTACCTCAAAATACTTTCTTACCAAAGTTTTTTTTTTGTGCTCTTTAGTTCAGTGTTATTCATTTTATTCAAAGCCGCTCTACTTAACCCTACTAAACAAGGTGATACATATGCTAGGTTTTAAAGAAGACAGTAAAATTTAGGAAAAAACTGCTGATTATAATAGAAACTTAAATAAACTGGAAAAACATTAATACTTAAAAGACAGCAGATAAAAAAATTTATAAACATTTAAGAGAAAAATAGCTAAATTATTTTTTTAACTTTTTTGGTCCAAAATAGAAAAATTGCCTGTGCATTTAACTTGCATTGTGTCACCATTCCAACTACCTAACTTTAATTAGATGTTTTCCCAGTGGGAAAAAAGACGTCAAAAAGACGGTGTTTAAAAGTCTTATTTACAATGTCTTTAAGACGTCTTTTTTTAATCGGTTATGCAAATCTAAACGACATCTTTTTTCAACATCAAAAAGACCTTTTTTTTTTATCTTAATCTTGTCATGAAAAGACATAAAAATGCGCTATTTAAGACGCCTTTTTTTAGTCGAATATGCAAATCTAAAAAAAGTGTTTTTTTTCGGGGTCGGAACGACTTTTTTGCCATACTTATTAGTATACTATAGTATCCTATACACTATAGTATTCCTACTTTTCTTATATGAAAAGCTATTTTTTTCAAATGAAAATGATAATAGCTCTTCATACAAAGTATGACAAAAAGCTCTTTCCGATGCCGAGAAAAAAAACCTCTTTTAGATGTCAATATAAAAGAGAAAGCATTTTCTACATCTTTTATATATTTAAATATAGGAGAATAATTTATAAATAAAACAATAGTATTATTCAACAGAATATTTTTTCATCTTTCTCTTTCTTTTCTGTTTCTTGAGCGAGGCTCTGTTTCTGAGGCGTTGTTGAATAAAATCAACAATTTCACGTCAAGAAATCCTTTCATACAAGCAGGTTACGACTTCTAGCTGGTTACCACTTTTAAAAAACGAGTGAACATAAAAAACAGCCTATTGCTTAAATGTAATACAAAAAAAGCAAACGAAACTTGATTAGCTGAGTGGAGCACATTATACTTACCGACTATTAATTCAAAAAGGGCTGATCCTTTTAATCTACTTATGTTTCCAGCGCGGTTTCTTCATTTTAAACCCACTAGATTAGATTGGGACAGGAGTCAAACGGTAAACAGTCTTAAAATATATAAAAATGAGTGTGCTAAATAAATTTAAACCATCACAATGACTGTACAACGATGTATTTTATTATGTAGTACTTAAATCAAGCTAAACATTTGCACCTCTCAGATTTGCTGTGAAAGCCAAGTTATTGAAAACAGATATTGATATTTTTCTGTCTTTTATAACATGACTTTTTAATTGAGCTTTAATGAAATTAAGTGTTGTAGACTCATAACAATTTAAAAATCCGTTATTGACTAAAGACTATCAAAATAAAAAAATAATTCAGCAAATACACCTTGAGAGTTGTTATTCATTTAAAATAGAAAAAAGTATTAGTCAAAGTTCTGTTTTAGCCTGAAACATAAAAATGCTTTACTTAACAACATAAAATCAAAAAAACTGGCGATATCATTAGAAACACAGATGAAATACACATAAACAAAAATGAAGACTAGAAAGCTGCAATGATGTTTAGATATAAGAAAGTATACCTTTCCAGTATCATTTTCACTTGGTTTTTTGTATCCAAACCAAAAATTTTGCGAACATTTCTAATGATAAATCTGTTGTCATTATGTATATTTTTATAATAGCTTTATTAATGACAGACCACAGTTAACAAGGAAATAACATATTTAACTTAAAAGTTGAAGAGCCAATCTTTTGTATAAACAATTTCATCATTCAACTAAATAAAAACAACAAAATCATTTAAAAATATATATATAAAAAAAAAATTGCAAGCCTACAAAATGCTTCTTTTTTTGTATCGTTCGTTTCCCTGGCACTTGAACATGTAAATATAGAAAGAAATTGTTTACAGGTTTTATTTTTCGTCTGAAAATAAATATTTTAATTTAATATGTAATAAACAACGTTCTTCAAGCACAATACATTAAAAAATTAGTCTAAAAATAAATGGTCAAACTTTTTTAAAACACTTGCCTGCGACTAACTTAATTGAGACTAGATCATATCAATACCATCTTACTGGCACCACGCCATCCACTTTTGCTTCTTCCGATTAACATTTTTTAGTTAAGCAGCTACAATTGTATATTTATTTCAGTATATATATATTATAATATATATACTATAATATATATATATATATATATATATATATATATATATATATATATATATATATATATATATATATATATATATATATACATATATATATATATATATATACATATATATATATATATATATATATATATATATATATATATATATATATATATATATATATATATATATATATATATATATATATATATATATATATATATATATATATATATATATATATATATATATATATATACAGTGGTTTTCATAAATTTAGACGCACTCATACTGGAGAATAGAAATTTTAGTTTTTCAACGATAAAACAATGACGAAAAAAGATTTTGGTTTAGTTTTTTTTCTATTTATTAGATAAATACATACAGAATACAAAATTTAAAAAAAGTTTACAAAAAAAATGAAATACTAAGTAATAATTAGGTACAACTACATGGTATTAAAAAAATTATACAAAAAAAATTATTCATAAATTTAGACGCACGATACATTAGAAAGCGTAATTTATGAACCAATCAATATTTTGTGTATCCGCCTTTTGCTTTAATACAACTAAGAACTCTTCTAGGCATAGACTCAACAAAATTTTTGCACATGGCTTCTGGGACCCCATACCAGGTCTCCTTAAGGAATTCCTTCAGCTGAGTAAGTGCGGAAATTTGAACCTTTGCTAATTCACGGTCAATCCAAGCCCAAATGTTTTCAATCGGGTTTAAATCAGGTGAGTATAAAGACCACGGTATTGTCATGATACTATTATCGTTGAACCACTCCTTTGTATAGTATGCAGTATGTGCAGTAGCGCCATCTTGTTGAAGTTTCCATGGTTTATCATTGAGCACAAGCAGGTCAATTGATGGAATTAAGTTGTTTTCCAGTACTTATGCGTATATTCTGGAGTTGATTCTTCCGGTGTATGTTTGGCACATACCAACACCTTTGTAATTGAAGCATGACCAGATTCCTATCGAGCCTCCTCCACTTTGTACAGTCGGTCTAATGTACCTGGCGTAATACTTTTCATGAGCCATTCTTTTGACTGTTATGTTAGATTTGCGATTGATAAGCTCAAAGTTACTCTCATTACTCCACATAATGTTTTCCTATTGTTCTATTGTCCAATACCTTCTTTCACGACACCATTTTAGTCTCCTTTGTTTATTATATGGACGCAGAAGCGGTTTCTTCAAAGCAGTGTAGACTCCAATCTTGTATTTGATAAGTATTCGGCGGACTGTGCTTTGAGAAATAGATGTATTTCGCGTTGTATTGAATTCTGTGGTTGATTCTTTGTAACTAATTCTTGGATTAGCTCTGACAGCTCTAAAATGAACACTATCGTCCTTTCTGGTGGTTGACAAGGGTCTACCTGGCCTTATTTTCTCGCTGGCACCACCAGTGTGAAGAAAGTTTTGTTTCGTTGTCCGAACGCATTTCTTAGAAACTCCAATTAACTTGGCGATTTTTCTATTACTTTTGGTTCCTTCTTTGATGTGCACAATAATTTGCCATCTTTCACCTTGAGTGATACGTCTTTTGCCCATTTTTCGCGTCTTTTTAGTGCAAAACTAACTTAACTTTTGTTTATTTATTAAATAATGATTAACTAATTCCAGGTAAGTCATATTTATATAAGGTTTTTTGACAAAAATAATTACTTTAGGCCTATTAATGAGAAATATGGGGAAAAAACTACTAATTAACTATCAATTAACAAGATATAAGACTTTTTTGGTTGTGCGTCTAAATTTATGAACAAAATAAAATCAAGCTTATCAATTAACTTTTTTGTGATAATCGGTATAGAATGAGTAATAAACATCCTGTAAAAAAAAAATTAAGGTACTCATAAATAGAGTTTCACTTCCTCTTGTAAATTATATATCAAACATAGCGGTAGTACTTTTATTTTATTTTTATTTTGAGTATTTTCTTTCATATATGAAAAAAAAAATGAATGCGTCTAAATTTATGAAAGCTACTGTATATATATATATATATATATATATATATATATATATATATATATATATATATATATATATATATATATATATATATATATATATATATATATATATATATATATATATATATATATATATATATATGCTATAATATATATATGCATTTATATTATGTATATTTTACATAATATATTATTTTATTATATAAATTATTAAATAAACCCGCTTACCGATAAAAGATAATTTTCAATTAAATTTCCTATGCAAAAACGTTTCACATAAAAGTTATAAAAGTATTTTGTAAACAAAAAACGGGCCAATCAGAACGTAACAAAGATATCGTAATTACGATACTGTGGGTTAAAACTCATTTTTGTTAGGTTCTATTGGCAATAATTATTTTTAATTTTCTTAAGCAAATAATGATTTCCTTATTAACAAACGATTGACTTTTCGACCTCTTTTCTGAAGACGTCTTTCCACGTCTTTATTTTGGCTGATTTTAAAAAGACATAACAAGTCATAATAAAGACGTCTTTTATTCGTCTAAAGATATCTTTTTTCCCACTGGGTTGTCAAGTGATGCATATTTTTTGAGACCTTAATTGCCAACTTGCCCTTTTGCACAACTAGTCTTGCTCTACCCTATTGATACTATAGGCTTGTCAAGTCTTGATCTACACGAGCTACCTGATCTACATGTGTAACACATAATGTGTTAGCTGAGTGTAGATGCTTATTTAAGGTTTGGTTTGGTTTTCTTAATGGTTAACAGGTTAGGAATACTTTTTTAATTGGAGACTTTGCTCAGCCATATCTTTAGTTTTAAATGTGTTTCAAAAATTATGTTAACAGTAAAAACAAATTTATTGCTAAAATTATAACCAAACCAACGGGGTAAAACTAAATTTAAACAGTTTAACAGATATTTGAAACAGTTTTTTTGCAAAAAGAATGAATAATAGCATTATTAAGTTGTGCTTTTTTGTGATTTTTGCGCGACGTAAACCTGCAAGACAACCTATAAAAAAATATCGTTTTTATTTCTTTAAATATGAAATCAATCAGCATTTAAAATAACAGCCAATCAAACAGCGTTTAAAATAACAGCCAATCAATGGGTTATTGAATTAGTTCTAGCAAAGTATTGTTCAATCACTTTCAAACTACAAGAATAGCTATATATATATATATATATATATATATATATATATATATATATATATATATACATGTATAGTCAAAATAATAGAAAACAAATAAAAAGAAAAATGCTTATTAATAAAAGTTATATAATAAGATCGTAAAGTAAATACAATAAGAACGCTGAGAGTTGAGCATATTTACAAAGTATTGTATAATTACAAAGGATAGATTTAATTAAACAACTCATATAAATAAACAAATGCATCACTTACATACGTATAAAACACATAAATACAGTGGTATTCATAAATGGTATTTATAAATAAATATTGGCCATACGAATAAAATAATACATTAGCTAAATAATTAATAAAGTTAAGAAATCTTGATACAAATCAAAATGTTTCAAAAATAATTTGTTTTATAAATTAAACCCACAAAAAGGATCTGCAAAAACTATCCTTTCAAAAAAAAACGAAACTATGTAATTTAACCGGGGATGAATAGATTTTAGATTTAAATATAAAACACGATTAAAGGCATATTATTTACACATTAACACATACATTAAAAATTAAGTAGTTAGTATTTTTAAATGTGCTTATCATTTACCGGTGTTTTTATAAATCACAAGTTTTTCTAAAAGAAGAATTGAAACAATAACAAGTGACATCATACATTCTAAGTTTACCAAGCTAATAACGACAATCCTCCATTCGTTGCGTAAGTTCATCACATGCACCTTTCATCAAAAAAAGCTGAGCGCTACATCGTTCTTCAATTGTTTTTGCCTATTGAAATTCAATAATTTTTGCCTATGAAAATTCAGTTGCCGCAAAACAACTTTTGGGATAAATCTGTTTTTCCCAATACTTTTATTAACTCCCGTCTCTGTCTGTTAACATCAAATCTTAAAATTAATTTTTGAGTCACTTTCTGATAACAGATTTTCTTCAAATTTTGCATATATACTCTTGCTTGATGACAGTACAATATTCAATAATTAGTTTTTTAACAAATTAATTAATTTAGTTAATTTTTAATTAACTAAATTAATTGTTTATTTTTTATATGGAAAGGAGTTAATAAGTTTATTTTTTATGTGGAAAGAAGAATATTACTTTTTAAAATAAGTACATTATTAGTTATTACCTACTTATACGCGCATTTAACTTATTTGGATTAGGCGTTGACTTCGTAAACGGAATGTCTGTGGTCGAGACATAATATTGGGTTTTGAATATAATATATGAACATAAATATAGGAAGAATATATTTATTTGGTAACAAATAATTAAATATTAACAAATAATTAAATAATAATGAAAACAAATAATAGTGTGCGATAGTTAATATTTAGGAATGTGTAAAACGGTCCACATTGG